AAGGCCCAATGACATGCTGGAGCACCACCCTCGACGGCTACTAAGCGGCACCAAGAAACAATATGAGCTCTCCAGGGTTCGAACCCACGACTAGCTCCTCGATCTCTTCTCGGTGCCGCTGCCATTGTGCTTCAGCTAGTGACTTTGAGCCCTACAGGGGCATACCTATCTGTGCCCGATATTTGTACAAAGTCTCATTGATTTTTGTGAGTGTAGGCTCCGTTGTCATGTACTCGCCTATCAACAATCATAATCAGCCTATCATCCAAATTATTGCTCAATTTGTTCTAATGAAGGCAACCCTGAAGAACGCAGAAGACATGGAAGAATATTTTTAGTGAGAAATGAGCTCAGACACCGAAATGTGTGATTTTTATTTATATTTTTTTGCACTTAATTTAAACACTTTTAACCACGTAAATTACACGATCTCCCTGAGTCATTTCTTCAGCTATATGCATTACAGTTAAAAATATTTTCTTATATTTTATATTTTGCTATGGTCGCTAATAGAATATTTTAAGTAGCTATTTGTATTGCATTATATGTGTTACAGTTTTGCAGATTTTTTATGTTTCATTATTTTGTTAGCGTTGCTATTAAAATATTTCAAATATCACAACGGAGTTAAATGCGAGTTATTTATCAAAACTTTTTTTTTAATTAGACAAAATTTAATTAACGCAATTACCATTTGAGCAATATCATGATAGCACTAAAGAAAACTATTATTTAATAAGGATAGAATATACATTAATTTTGCCATAGGGTTCCTTTGAAAATATGAAAAAAGTCAAAATTACTGAGCCCGTGTCAAACATTTATTGCCGTGGCACATGTCAGAGTAAATCCATCCTCTGCATTGCCTAAATCGAAGGTCAGACATGTTGTCATAGCAACACATTTGTCGGAATCTCGTTCTGAAATCTTTTAGACATTTAAGTTTATATTCATCATTTCATTTCTTGCCCTGCTGAGCTAGTTAAATAAATTATTTCAGAGCAATAATTGACTTATTTCGTAAGTGTTATGAGGGGAGCTCACTCATCAGCAATCAAACTTACACGACATCAATTAAAATAAGTGCCTTTTGTCCTCTGATGTCCACAACGTTTGTTTACTTGGGTTGCCCAGGGAACAAAGGTCGCTCTAGAGGCGCTCTACTGGTATACTGTGTTGATGCAGGTATACTGACTGTGTTGATGCACGTATACTGACTGTGTTGATGCAGGTATACTGACTGTGTTGATGCAGGTATACTGGCTGTGTTGATGCAGGTATACTGACTGTGTTGATGCAGTCTTGATTTCATAATCATTTGCCACTATTTCTGGAAATACTAAATAAGTAAACTGATATATTCTATACCGTTGGATCTAAATTCCTCGAGACATGCATTTTCACATAGCTTGAATGCAATTCAATAGTGCACTGATTGAATGAATTCCTTCATTCATTCAAGGAATGAATGAAGGCTTAGTAATCCAAGAGGTTTCACTTTGATTCTCGCACTTGAATAATCCAATTAAGTTCAATTATTTCTCTTTTGAATATCTCTTTAACGACAGTCTGACCTGGATTGCATTAATAAGATTGCTATTGAGCCGCACGAATTAATGTGTTTATCAATGTTTGTAGTTTTGGATCCTGCGGCAGCAATATGAAGAAGACCGCACTTGATGCAGCGGTAAAAGAAAATAACGATGTAGCTCATCGTCAAAGGAATGTGATATAAGATTTGCGTAGCGTTTCTGAATCTACATTTTTAGGAACATTTCGAACTCTTACATTCATAAGCTAACTATATCGATTGCGTTTAAATAATTCTGGCAAACGCAAACAGTAAATTTCGCGGTATGCATATCGCAGATTTTCAAACCACTGTGCCGTATTTTTTCAACTTCTACATACGACATAGGTATATTTATTGAGAGAAATGCAGTTTTTATTCACTGGGGGGAGTTTCAGATCAACATCTTTTGCGATGAGCAAATTTATGTATTGAAATATCGAAATTGCTGCGTCAGCGTTTATAAGGCCATTTGAACTTTCGCCGATTCTGGACATCTCAAATTTTTCACAAATTGTTTCGGTCTCATACACGCAACTCACTGCTCTAGTTTTGCTGTGCTTAACCGCTCGGCCACCTCGCCGATTTTAATAATATAAAATGGCAGTTTCAGCATTTAGTAGGCTGTAGGCCTGTCGCCGATTCTTAACATCGCAGAACATTCACAGTTTTTTGCGGTCTCAAACACGCAACTCACTGCTCCAGTTTTGGTGTGCTTAGCCGCCCGGTCACCTCGCCAATTTTGACCAGTACTGTCACAGGTAGTTGGGATCGAACTTACAACTCACTTCTTCAATTTTGGCACTCTTAACTGTAACCACTGAGCCTCCCAATTATTTTGCTTAGATACCTTCCATAAGTACTAAATATCAATTTTGATACGTTTCTTTATATAATATTCGCCTCTATTCGTTTAAAAAATATCTATGCAAATGATTAATTTTATGTAACTATTAACGGAGAAGATATTCACACTTGTAAAATGTTGTTCATAATCAACCCGACTATCGCCTATAGTAGTGATTCCATGAAAACTATAATACAAAACCGTATAATACCGAACTAACATCGTAAACCATTAATATCACATAGTTCTATCACATCGAAATAGCCTGCAAAATTCATCATACTTAATTTTTCGTCACATCATTCATTAAACTCATACCTCTGACAGGAATTTGTATAATTACATTAGCAATGAAATAAATGAATAAATAATGAAAAAAAATTGCTTATCTTTCACTGACAAGTCCACGTCTTGAACTGAGCTGAGCTGCAGTTCTAACGAGCTGGCAGTTTGGAGTCGTCAACGAGACGGTCGAAGTGAAACAGTCGTTACCAGGGACTACAACATAATTGCGTACTGACATCGACCGGCCCTTGCCCGGACATACCTACATGTTATTCTGAAATAACCTAGCGTCTTGCTCCAATGACGACTTGTAGCCAGATATGAAATAGATACCTGTCTTAATTTATTTTGTCTCCGTCATTACTCATTGTGATCAAATCACATTGGTTCGTGTTTATCTCCACGTGAAATGAATGATTCTAATAAAATAATTTAGATTTTTTGCTGTAAATTAGTTTGTGGTTCACGGCCGATCGACCTTGGCAATGCAAGCCATGCGTGCATAGAGACAAAACAAACGTCAGTCGGATCCCGTCACTAGCTTATTCTTACGGCATGGCGGTTTTTTGATAGAATACGTCAGCACAAATAAATAAAGATGGAATTTACACTCAGCCTTGGCATGTAAATAGTGGTTGGGAAACAAATTTAAGTAACATTTAGAAAGTAACGCTCCTCAAGCTAGATATTCATTATTAAAATATGACATCCCAACCCCAACATTGATCGTGAATCCAATACCAGAGGTCGTCGACGGCCAGCTCAGAGTTTGTTCACACTTTACTTGTCTCAAGTTCAAGGAAGTTTCATATCTTTCTAGCAATATCCGAGGTTTATAAAACTGCACTGCCACTGTGTTTATGAATTATTGTCTGCTAGTGAAGCAACGACGTAACAACTTACACTTCAGCGGCTCTTGTAGCTTACGACGAATACTTTATACTTACACGTCAATCGTTTTCAACAATGCACACGTTTGAACGTTGATTTTAAATATTACTAGGAGTCGAAGTCGAAATATTCTCAGGAATAACGCTACAGTATGAAATCAAGCTGATTCAAGAATCGTATCCCAAAACATGGCTTCTAAAAATTTTCTGTGCATGTAGCAAGAATTGAAATTTATTAAGCTGCCAAAGTAGACATTAGTCATGATCAATTTTACAAATGAATTAGTCACATTTGTCAAGTTCTAATTCGTTGTTAAGTACTGATGGTAAATGAACTACTTTATTATTGACTCCGAAGTGGAAAAATTAGATTCAAAACTTTCTCTTCCTTGAATGTTGGTAAAAGCCACGAAAGTCAGCGTACCGAAAGTTAAAAACGGGCAACTTTGAGCATGGTAAACGAGGAAAATCAACACGCACGTTAGTTAGTGATATATTTGGTGAAAACATGTGATTGACAGTAAATCTTGACTCCGGGACGGGAGGAGCACTGGTAACGAAGCTTCTCAAATATAAATTATAAACGGAAAAATAAACGCAAGTTATAGATATACGTACTAATATTAAATATGTGCTTAAGATACGGAAAAACAAACGATATTCCTTTCAATGCATGAAAGTAGTATTGATTTTGTAATCAATATGCACTTAAGATTAGTAAGAAATATGGTGCATCTAAACGTGTCACGATATGCCACTTAACCTAAACGTGTCACGACGTGGCAATTAACACAAATTATGCCATCCAAAAGGCACTAAATGTCTGTAACTAACAAACGGACGATTTAGATCGTATATTTTATAACATCAAATACTTCCACTAACTAAATCGAATGATTTAGTTTCACATCTTAAATACACGCAAACCTGTACAAGATTGCCGAAGACCGAAACCCGAAAAGGAGAATTTTTTTGCCAATTCCAGCAACTTGATTGTTTTCCCTATGAAAAAAAAAAACCTAAAAAATAAGATCATTCCTGACAAATATTTTTTTATTCCTGATAAAAAAGAACTATTTTTTTATTCTTGATAAAAAAAGAAATGTTTTTATTCTTGATAAAAAAAAATATTTTTTTTATTCTTGCTAAAATAAAGTGTTGATCATTGCGTTATTCCCTCTATGCGTGAAAGTACAATAGTGATTGGAGCTGCCTTGACAAAGTCGAAATGATGTTATAGATTATCTCTAAAGTATTTGTAGGAGTTTTGTAAAGCCAGCCTTACCTCGTCCGTGTGCGTACACGGGCTTCGCACATTAGTCTAATTGCTAGGAAACTAGTTATACATATTAACTAATATTGAAGATATTGTAGTTCAGGTTAGTGATGCCGCTGGTCTGACCAGAGCAGCTCTGTTATAAAAAAGCTCATAACCGACGGGAAATAGGGAAATGAATATTGAGCACCAGAATGTCGAACTTGCAACATAAATGTCGAACTTGCGGCAACAGAAGTCAAATAAATACCTGAATGAGTTCACATTTTTCGAAGTGAATGGCTGCACAAAAACTCATAATTTTACAGATAGAACATAGAATAGAACATAGAAATTCTAAAATGTATTATTCATTTGTGCTAAGCGCAGCAATGTAAAATCGGTTACTTCATGTAGACAGTTGGGATCCTAAGCAAATAAATGCCATTAAGGAGTATGGCTAACACCAAGGCTTAACAACTGTGTAATAATGATTACAACAATTTGATTCTTCTATTCATCAAATATTTTATCATTTCAGACAATCATTTAAATGAAAAATGAATGCAAATAAAATGAACTTAGACCCCTCAAGAGCTTAATAGAAATTCAGTACCATGGCAATCCCTTTCAATAGACTTCTCTCCTCATACAGCCTGGCCATTTAGTAAAACTCCACTTAAATCAATGCATCTTGTTTCAAAGGGGAAAATTAGATCTAATCAAGTGCAGCTATAAAGAGAGGCCATACACAGATACTATACAGTACATAGTTTTGTTCTCCCAGCGTACGGTGCATGAGCCGTCTGTTGCGTTGTCCCAGTAGCATGACGAGGCCGTATGTAGACCCGCTCCATTCTTCTGCATTATCACACATGTCACTGTAAAATTAAGCATATTATTATATTGAATGAAGATATGGAAAACTAAATTACTAATATCAGTAACAAGTTAACATTCTATAGGTACTTCTTAACCCTTTCACGGGTAAGCTACCATATATGATCACTTGAAATAACCTCACAAAAAGCCTCACCATGGCTTCCTGTTTGTTTTTGAGGCATCCTTATAATGCCTCAGTTAATCAATGATTATCTGACCATCATTCTATCTATAGCATCACCAGCTGCAAAGTCCACAAATTGAAATATGAGCATTTAAATGAAGGTTTTGACTTGGACAATGGAATTGACGCTCTTTCCGCATTTTCTTCAAAATTTGGAAGTATCAATATATATATATTTATTTATTTTGGCAACTTGATTAAATTTAATTAAATTTAATTTTATGTTTCTAATTTTTCATTTGCATAAACTGAATTTTAATTATAAAGAAAAATTTTGTGTACTACTGACCGCATTTATTGAATTCTTCAAGTGCGATTTAAACCTTCAACAGGCAAAATTTGCAAAAATACATAGAAATAAATATTTTGCATAATACTTCTTACTTTCTTGAAATGGTTTCTGAAATTTTAATTTCTGGATATTTCAATGCTTGTCCGCTAAAGGGTTAAATCACCAAGTTTTTACAAAGTTTGTCTAAAACTCACACTTGAACTTAGCATGATTTTTATAATAACCCTCTAAGCATGAATAATAAACACAATAATGACATAAATATCAACCACTCTTGTTTGAAACTCACCAATATACTTGAATGATTTGTTAAGTTTTGATAGATTGCCCAGAACACTTTCCACCACCTGTGCAGTCCAGCCATTAACTTTGGCACTTGTGTAGCCATTGCCACCAATTACGGTCTCGACGCTCATTTTGATGATGGCACTCACTTCGTCCATCACAAACTGGTTCTGAAAACAACAACATTTCATTATTAGACAATCAACCAATTGAACTAAAAGTGAAATGTCAGAAGGTTAAAGAAAAAATTAATCAATTAATCTTTGTTTTGCAAATAATTTTATAGATTGACATGAGTTTGGGAGCTCACAAGTCCAATTAACTTATTTACTTGAACTAATAAAATCAATGTGATTTTCAGTCAGGATGCCTAATGTATTCCAAAATCAAGTTTGTAATATCAACTAAAGATATTGCCTTTTTCCATGTTTTCAAAAAAATGTGATAGTTTCAATTTTGATGTCTGAGTAATAGCTTTTCTTTCAATGCTCATATTTTCATTGAAGAGTATTTTAGGAAGCAAAACTATGCATAGAATGATTGCAAGCATGCATGCAAAAAATGAAAGTTTATTTTGTGCAGTGCAGCCACTCTGGTCTCTGGACACACTACAGAGTGGCCTCAGCAGGCAATTAACAGACAATAAGTGCCAAGTTTCATCTGAACAAAATACCACCCTGTGAATATGATGATGATAATAAGAAGAATGACACATTTGCATTTACCATAATTTTCAGAAATTGCCTTCAAAACTAATTAATGTTTTTATCCAGGATTTTGTAAACCTTCAGTCTACTATTTCAGATTGGTCTGATCACAACATAGTGGCAAACCAGAGATTTTTAGCATCAGTTCATTTCTAATTCCCTCATCTACTCAATATTTTCATCAATTTCTTATGTACCTATGAATACTATATGATATTGTTGGTATCCAAGATACTTACTACTCTATTTATAGGACTCAAAAACAAACTTGAGGAATGGTCAGGCAGGGTGCATACCAGTATTCAGAAAAAAATTTCATGACTTCTCCATGACCTGGTTCTAGTAATCTTTGAATGTTAACTGAAAAGAGAGACAAGAGTAGTCAGTGCAGCAGAACCAAACTTTGCAAGAACATGTACAAGTCTACAAGATATGTAACAAACCTACACATCCACTTGTATAGTTATTTGATCTAACAATTTTATTATGAATCCATATTTCTCTGCTGGTTTCAAATGGAACTGCTAGCCTAAGGCCTTAGGCATCATTCCACATCAATGGGTTCAACACATGCAGCACAGAAAAAACTTCCTTTTTTCTTTATTTATTTGCAAATTCCATGACTTTTCATAATCTGAAATGAAATCCCATGACTTCCCAGGCCTGGAAAATAAAAATTCAAATTCCATGACTTTCCAGGTTTTCCATGACTGGTGCACACCCTGGTCAGGCTCAGGCCCACCATCAGGGCACAGAAAGAGAAAGTGAATGAATATCTGAAGATCTTTGGCAATGCATCAGTAGCAAAATTCACCCCTTCAGAAGATCTTGCTGACACATGCTGGAGAGGTAGCAGTGTGGCGCTGGCGCACTCGCAGGGCGTTCTTCATCGAAAGTGGGGAAGGGGCTAGGCTGCATGGAATAGAAATATTTTGGGGTTTAGCGTGTGGGTTAAGACCATTGTTTTGGCGGCTTGCAGGTCATTGGCTCGCTGGTTTACATCCATGAAGGAATTTAGTCCCTGTGCGCATAGTGGCAAACCAGAGCTTTTTTAGAATCAGTTTATTTTCAATTTCTTCATTTACTCAAGATTTAAATCAATTTCTTAAGTATGACAATACTGGTATCCAGGATACTTTACTGGTCTACTTATAGGACTCAGAAATGAACTTGAGCAAGAGTCTAAACAACTCTCTGCTTTGCCACTATGCCCTGTGGCCTGTGGCGTTCGCCGTTCAGCAAGTAATCATGTTGGCTAATTTGCTCTGCAGCATGCTTGAGCTTGAGCACAGGGTGAAGTTTGAAAATAATGCTGGTATTGGGCATTGGGCAATGCTGGGTTATTTCAGTCATCCCGCATTTTAGATAGTACTTTAAAATCTATGGCATCCACTCCAGCAATGCTAACTGCAGAACAGGATGTGGACCACTTTTATTTTGTGTAATGTCTATTATGCATTGTTCATTTTATACCTAAATGCGTTTTACGTTAAAATATAAACCACAATTTTTTTATATTTACAGCCTGCTCGTGCTCGAAACTTCTTATTGTGGAGCATGAATCAAAAATGACATACCTACCTCATCACTTTGTGCAGCTTCGTCCATCTTGTGCGGAAAATTTATAACTAAGAGATATGTAAAAAGAGGATTAACTCAACCGCACTGAGGTAAAGGAATTGGAAATGCACGTAAACGGTCGTAAAATCAGTAGCTTTGATGCATAACGTTACCAAAATTCGGCAGCTACGACCTACGAATGCCAACTAATACAACAGTCCAATCTCCAATGTCTATGAAGAACGCAGATTCTAATACAACGGAAAAACGATTGCGGATTTTCCGTTGTCGTAAATTTTCACTTCTAATTTGTCGTCATGGTTGAACCCATGGTTGAACCAGTAGAGTTTAACCATGGTTTGTCGTAGACACCTTCTATCATTATAATTTATCATATAGGCTTATGTAATTATACGTTGATGCTATTTCGCAATTCGGCGGTGGGAGTTTAATAAAGAATGCAAAGCTGTAGTTCAAAGAAATGCAAAAATATCCTATGTAGGTGCACATTAGTGTGAGTGAAAGCGTAATCATGAAATTTCAACTGTGTGATATTCAATTCTGAAATTTGTGTTCTGTGTAATCTTCAACTCGCAGTGGTTGAGGGTTTGCGCTTTGTTCAGTTATTTGTGAGGCGATTTCCATTAGCTTCATCTGTAATGAAGCTTCCGGGACACTGCGGTTTTGTAGTTTGTGCAGTGGAATCGACATCGTCAAAATATTTGAACTGCACATCGGAGATAATGTGGATTTCACAGTGTTCTCGTGGAACTAAATCTTGCATATACGGGATATACCAGAAATAAACAGAAACATCATGGGACCCACCCTATAGTTTGTCGTAACGCCCTAATCTCTGGAACACTAATATAGACTAAGCCTACTCAAGCAGCCGCCCCGAGGACTCTAGACTTTTATTTGCTTCATGTTACCCATCCTCAGTCCATGGTTGAACTAGTTCAACCATGTCCTCAGTCAGACTCAGGGCTGATTTCAATCCGTAAGTCCGCAGGGAATTGGTGCATTTCTGGGGAGCGCAGCCGTGGACCAAAAATTTAAATGGCCTCTAGCATGCATCCCTTTTCTGTGTCGGTCACAGAGTTTTGTGAAGATCCTAAGCCGTTTTACAGCCTGTTATTTCAATAAAGACGATCGCGTCTCATATTCAATTCAGTTAAAGCAACACTGTTAGTAAGTAATGAACTAATAATTGTTTCAATGTGTCGCAAGAATTTAAAATGATTTAATTGGTTAGTAAAATAAAATATGGTTATGGGTTTAGTGGCGCTAGAAAGGCTTCACTATGTTCCGGGACGTAATTTAGGCAATAAGTCCAGCAGCTATCTCAATCAATCGTCATTTATGGAAAGATCGGGTTCCAAAGGCCGGATCCCTTGTGAATCAAGTCACGAAAAGTTCAAGAATCGGTAACAGGCCATGGGCTGTTATGGCTTCACTGTTAAATAGGTCAAGATATTTTTTTCAATGTGACGAAATTATGCGTTGAAAACCTGATAAAACTTTGCGTTTATCGCGCTTATAATATCGGAGCACACAGAGAAGAAATGGGGTCGATGTTAGCCTGAACATAATGTCACTAGGTATCTCCATGACCATTTTAAATTAGGTCATGGCCGGTTTCGATTTGACAAACCTATGCGTGGAAAACCTGTTATGGAAATTCGCCCCAAAAATTCGTCCCACAAGTGTTGATGCGGTATTTTCATAGGCAGCTTATCTACCTCAACATAAAATATTTCTAACTGACTAATGATCAAGCTTAGCAAATGAGGCACGTTATAAGTTCACATACATTGTTTTATATATAGATTTAATTTTATTTTTCTTGACATTTACACTTTTTCCATTCAACTTCGAAATTACTTTACCGTTGCTTCTCTAAATTTAACAAAGTTATCAGTAGATAATAGGTGTGTTACTCTATTTCCAAAGTAATTATTTGGATAGACATTAACCGATTAAAGGATATGAATTTGTTTCATTTAAATAGTTTGTTCTCTTTCAGATTTTTTAGTATGCGATGAGCGCCAACAATAATTAAAAAAAATAACATTTATAGTTCTCAGACTTAACGCAAAAAAATATTGTCCGCTTCGTTTCACCAACTTTGTCTTTTATTTGCTCACTGATAACGACAGATAAATTTCTTTTAGTGACATATTCACATTCATAGGTATTGAAGCATGCTTGAAAAAAATATCCAAATTAATTTCTGAATCTGGATATCGCTGTCATATGCGCAATAATTTGAATTCATCGATTGATAAACTAAGCGTGAATGGCACTTAATTGTATTTTTTAAATGAGTGTGCAGCTAATAATTCTCGATGTTGATAACCGTAGTCCTCGAATGCAAAATTTTTCGTTTCAACAAGATGTAATATGTCTGTTCATAAATCCGTAGCCTCACAGTCTGGCAACATTTTTAGTGAGTTAGCAAAATGGCGACGACGAAGACGGAAGCTGTGGCTACAATGCCTGTCCAAAAATATGGAAAAGTTGTATTAACATTAGACAATGTTCTTTTACCTCCTGAAAAATTAAATCCAAGCCCTTCATCCTTGGATGGATTGGATGCTGATACGGAATATGATCTACGTGTGTTGGGTTGTGAGATGATTCAAACGAGTGGAATCCTCCTCCGTCTGCCTCAGGTAAGAAACGTTTTGCGCCAGAAGCTCAAAATTTGGAGAAATGAGAGACATTAATCAATTGTTGACTTGACAAATATTCATCATAACCTAGTTTGCACTAGACCACATACATTTTTGATTCTCCATTCGTTGAAATTTACTAATAATATTTTATTTTACAGGAGGATTTGATTCTAGTATAACTATAGGTTTCTTCCTTTACATTGATTGATCTAGCCAGTTTAGGCTACCTTATTTTTATTGGCATACCTAATCCTAATACTGTATTTATGATGTTACTGTAGGTAAGTGGTAGTGGGTATTGGGTAATATTAAGCAAGTTGATGGTCATGAAACGTTTTAAAGATAGTGGCAATTAGGCAAAGCAGAGTTTTCTGGACTCAAAGTTCAATTTTTAGTCTTATATTATCATCATGTTGACCGCTGACCAGCAAAGTATCATGACCAGCATCATCATATATAAGATATTGGTTTAAATCTTGACTCTTGAGTAAATGAGAAAACTAAAAATGAACTGATTCTAAAAATCACTGGTTTGCCCTTAAGCATAGTGGCAAACCAGAGCTTTTTTGGAATCAGTTCATTTTTAATTTTCCCAAAACTCAAGATTTAAACCAATTTCTTAAGTATGATAATGCTGGTATCCATGATACTTTACTGGTCTACTTATAGGACTCAAAAATGAACTTGAGGGAGAGTCTAAAAAACTCTCTGCTTTGTCACTATGCCCTTAAGGCCCCTTATGCTGGAAAATATCTATAATCTATGTTTCAAGCCGTGACCGTAGCACCAGTAGCAGAATTTAGACTTGAATGCTTTTCTGCTATTTACAGAACAGATGTAGGGTAAATTTGGTATATTCCGACACTTTAAGGACGTAGCTGTAGCAAAAAAATGAATGGCTATAAAAAATCACTGTATGCACAACTCTGTTCTGTTTGCCTTACTTCACTCAAAACACTGCACTAGCCTATGCGCCAGCAACAATGAAACGTCACAAAATGTTGCCATATTTATTTAAAAGCCTTTAGAATGCAAACCTACCAAATCCATTTATTCCAATTCCGACACAGTGTGACATTGTGTGACTTCGGCATTTTGTGAGACTAATTCCGGCCGCGCTTCAAACTCTGCTAATTCGTAATTCCAACACTCTTGTGTTCAAATTCTGATTGCTGTGTGAGCTGTATTGGAATACGACACAGCTTGGAATTAGAACGCTATTGAATATTGAACACTACTTATTTAGGCTTTTAATTAAGATCTATTAGGCTTTTAAATAAGAAAATTTTAATTTTTGCGCACAGCTTGGAACGAGCTGTGTGTCTAATTCCAAGCTGTGTCGGAATTAGTTTTTATGTGTCTAAAACCGTCTCTTAACTTAATCATCTGTTAATTTTTTTACCACTTGAAATCAGCAAATACAAGTATACATAAAGGATTTCTAATATATTCACAGACTTATTTAAAAGTCTCAACTTTGGATCTCAACATTTTCCCACCAGACGTCCCAGACCTAGTGTTTTGGCAATAGTATTGCGCGCAAAAGTATGGCGTCACTATTTCAACCATCAACAAATGCATGGAACTAAGAAAAAGCTTAATATAAAGGAAAAAAGTTGAGAAGTGTTGGAATTACCCTGGATGTTGGAATATACTGCATTTACCCTATCAAATTCCCACTTGATGAATTACCTCCTTTCTTAATTGTTAACATTAGTGCACAATAGGGCCACACAATCCCAAATGTATTAAAAAACTTTGGTTATGCTCTGTGAGATTCAATTGATTGCAAGCATGGAAAACGTCTACCTCTAGCACTGCAACTAGAGCTTTCCCGCCATCTCCAGAACTGCTAGATTTCCGACAGATGAATGAACTCCAATCTAATTGTCAACAAAATTGCTCAATTGGGCCGCAAGATTCCAATTGTATTAAAAATTTGTCACGCTGGAGCCACAAGATTTCAGAAACAAGTGGAAAATTTCAATCCTGTAAATTAATTGATAACTTGAAAAATTCCATGCTGTAAAGAAATACATTTTCCCTCTTATATTTATTCTTTGCCATGAATTGATTTTGGCAATGGTATCATATTGTTCACTGCCAATTTGCCATATAAGGCAGAATTTTCCAAAAATTAAAATGATAATTTCAAGTATTCCGTGGTAATTGTTCCATTTGTCTTAGTTTTAGAAACAAATTTGAGGCTGGTTTTAAGCTGTAAATGCATTTCCTAATTGTGCAATACAATATTCAATCTGTAACAGGCATTCTATTTTTATCATATCTGTTTTGGTTGTATTCTACTGTGAAAATTATAATACAAATTATTTTTCTTTATAGAAATGATTTAGCATGTTATAATAAATTATTTTAGTCAGGTTTTAATTTTCCCACTAATTGTGGAACCTCCAAAATCTTGCTGCAGGCTCCTATCTGATTCACTTCTAGTGCCAATTAAATGGGAGGTAATTCATTTAATGGGAATCGCATGCTTTCAAAAAAATGGGGATAAAGCTTCTGTCACAGATCTTACAGTACTGGACTAAGTTGTAAGTAATGTCATTGTTACTGGAATGAGTGGAGTGCTCCACACTTCAGGACAGATGGTGTGCAGCTTAAAATGATTTTTAAACACCAATTGCACTTAGAGAATTTTAGTGCGTTTGGATTTTTATTCCAACACACTGCATTTTATGATTTTGTTTAAGAGTGTCAAGGCCTCCTCTTCTTAAGGCCCCTTTCACACAGGGTGGGAAATCCTGCCGGCATGAAAAAAACTGCCGCGGAATTTCCCGCCAAACCTCAGCAGACATACAAAATGTGCACTCTTGACATCAATTGATTTTTTGATGAATTAATTCGCCAGATAGTTTCGGATTATTGATTATTAGGCTAGTTACCTTGAATGGTTTGTTATATATTGTGCATTTTGCAGGTTGCCATGGCGTGTGGTCAGGTCTTGTTTCAGCGACTGTACTATGCCAAGTCCCTGGTCCGCTACCCCATGGAGGCTACAGCCATGGCCTGTGTTGCTCTAGCATCAAAGATTGAAGAAGCTCCACGCAAGATAAGGGATGTCATCAATGTCTTCCGACACATAAGACAAGTTCGCAATGGAAAGTAAGTTATAGTGTTCTTATTTTTCTAATTTAATTTTGTCCATTTCAGGTGGAACCAGCATATCATTCAAATTCTCATGCTGCTGGAGGATTTTCAGTGAATCTCAGTTGGCCCCTTGATTTCCAGCTTAAATATGTGATTTTTCATTTTTCAAGGAATTCACATTTCCCCATTAGGAATATTTTGTCTGATTTTCCCTCAATGCAAATGAGTGTACAATCTTGTACACCACCTACCCTCTGCTATGAGCATGTTCTGATAATTTACTATCCTCCATTACCTAATGTTGCTTATTGCAGGACATTGAGTCCTGTTATATTGGATGCCAACTATATCACTCTGAAGAACCAGGTCATCAAGGCTGAGAGACGGCTACTGAAGGAGCTTGGTTTCTGCTGTCATGTCAAGCATCCTCATAAGGTGAGGTTTTATTCATTTTCCAATACGAGTCTCAGATTATTTTTAAAAATAATGAACATTTCAATTCAAAAGGGGCTGGTTGAAAGGGATACAAATAGCTTTTGATATTACTATTTGCTTTATACGTTTGTCTATTTGCTGGAATAGAAATGCATGAGCTAAAAATGGGGAAAACGTGTCTATTCAAGAGTAATATGAGTAATCAGACTGGCTCTAATAAGCCCGCGCATCTCAAGTAGCCTCATTTGATGATGTACCACTTCTGTAAACTTTCTCATTGTAATACTTTTGCACGTTATCAATTATATTTGCAGGTTGTATTGAATTTATCAATTCAAATATATTTATATATCAATTATTTTTCAAATTATATTTTATATTTTCCAATGTTGATTTGTCGAGTTCATGCTTACAATCGTACAACTGTCTAAATAAATAGCCTTTGTATTTTTTTTATAGCTACTTCAGTTAATGTCTATTAGTTTGGTAGTCCAATGAGAAATATTCTTTTCATATAAACAAATTTCCACTGTTTACTTCACCGTTTTTTTATAGAAATTGTCCGATATTTATTTTCAAGTATAGTTCTATGTACATTTTTTCCTTATTCAAGAATTGATTGCTTGTAGTGAAAGTCAATAATTAAAGTCAGTCAAATTCGGCAGCATCTTCCTCCAATTTACAATGAACATGAATTTTATGGATTGCAGATCATCATCATGTACCTGCGATTGGTTGAAGCAGATGACAATCGCAACCTGGCTAAATCCTCCTGGTAAGTTCAGTTGTACACTCTAGCAATGGTTCTATATAGAATATTTCCATACATTGATCCATTCCCCTCTTATAAGCTGAACACTTTTATGTGTTGATCTACATCCCTGCTGCTGCACATGCTCTTTGATGTATGTACATCTACTGCTATGGACTTGAACACAAAATGTATCGATGGAATCTTGACACCAAACACACCTGAGCCTATTGTGGAGACGGTGTACATGAGATAACGTCGTCTTGCATCATTGTGAGCATGGAAGGTCCTCGAAACGGAGTATGTGTCTCCAACTAGTATTGTGTGTTCATCTCGTGAATAGTTGAATTCAGTGCCAGTGTGATTGCATAATTGGAATTTCTGGCGTTATCTGCAATGAACTGGTGCATTATGAGAGTACAACTGAAGAAAAAATATACTAGAACCATCGCATCAATGGATGCATTTATAGATGACTGGTTTCTTGTCCGCGCGCTTGTTATGTGAGTGACTGACTGCTGTTGCAAGTGCTTGAGACGGTGTGTATCCTGAGGCGTGTCTGGCCTAGTGACCGTGATGAACTAATGGTATTTTTTATCCCCATCAGAGGGAGGTGAGGTAAGGTAAGTCTGAGGAGGCTAAGCTACTGTGAGCCTGCTCCACTGCACTCCATCTCCTGCAGTGGTAATGGTGGTGATGTCAGTCAGCTCCTGGTTTTGCTTCCTGCTCCCATCACGACCTCCTGTGCGTCCCTCAGCGGTGCTGGCAGTTACTGCTGCGTCTGTCGCCCCCCATTTGACCGCTGCCACTCGTACAAACCTGGCTGCTGTTCACAGATTTATGCTTCAAATGGATCGTGCAATATCTTCATAATTAGCCATCCTCCCTTCCTTACCATCGCTTCATCGCAACGTCTCGCTCATTCTAAAGGATTTATTTGAAAACAAGGGGTTTGTACATAAGGTGGTACTTATGCTCCGACATTATGCCCTTCCAATTAATTTGTTAGAAAAATACCTTTTATTTATATCATTACAATTTCTCTTATGCGAGTTATTAGCGAGTGATTGACAAGTTCCTGCCTACATCATACCAGTTGAGTCGATAAGGGTATCTTTGTTTATACATCAGTTTTTGGCTGGATTTGCTGAAATTTGTATCATTTCTCAATTGTTTTAATGGACACAAGCCTGTTCTAGGGTGCGGCGTGATGTGATAATTTGATTAGATAGTTCTTCATTATATTTATGCCTAAATATAGCTGTTAATTGTTGCATTCTAAGAACATTTGTGTCAGTATACAATAAGAGGTGTAAATGTCTTCATTTGTTATATTAGATTTTAAGAATTATAGTCGGTACCATGCGTCCAAATATCAGTGCTGTGACAATTTCTTTGATTTCTTGGCTACGCAATTCTATTGTAAATAAGAAATTGTGCCTCTTATTGAGTGCTGCTATTGTTAGTTACTGGATTTAAAACGTTTAAAGCGTTATATTTTGGTTACTGCACATGACAGATATGGTTCCTTAATGTGGTTAGTTACATGACGTGATGTTCACGTGTCTAATGAATGTTTATAATTAATATTAGCATTTGCAAGGAGCTAACTGACCTCTTTCGACCAGGTATGGTGGCTGGCTCAGCTACGAGTGTTGCCTCTGAAGACTTCCACTATTTCTTAAGAGTGACGTCGCGGGAACCGTGCTGAGTTGAGAGCAACCTTTCCTTTTGCTAATTCAGATGCAACCTTACTGTTTCACACGATTTATCTGCTAGGATTTTCCTTTTAAAATCGACTGTATATTGGTAATTGTCAGTATACATTATTTTAGTTGAAATCAATAAGCTGGGCTTTCATTACAGTGTAAATAACCTGAAGGAATATCTGTCTTGCCATTGGTCTTGGTTGTTCTCAGTTTAGCCTTCTATTTAATAGTAATTATAGTTATGATGTGAGAATCGTTAGCTTGGAATTTTATGTTATTGTTCATTTGACTTGTAATACAATATTTGCCTCCTAGCTTCCAACGCTAAGATTCAGATCTCGTTGTTACATTTGAAGAGTTGTGATGGTGTTTGCAATGTAGCGTGGGAGCTGATGTTTGCCTAAATACCTGCAGCTTTGCAGAGGAAGCTGATCGTGATTGCAGTCGTTCATGGAAGAGGACTCGTAAGATGTGCCGCCTACTCTGCTTATTTAGAATTCGCGTGTCATCAATACCACTGCTCTGGTGTACCTTGTGTGTACTTTGTCCATTGTTATCTGGATTGTTGGCTTTTCTATTTCCAAATTGAAATACTTTTCAAATAATTTCCAAGTGCACTCCTTTTGTGACGAATTTTTTTTTCCAATTGTTAATCTCATGATATTGCATCACTAATAATTTCGGCGTTAACGTTTTCAATAAGTTTTTGTCATATGAAGAAGTGGAACTTTTTGTGTTGTGCTTTCAAACATGCGACTCTTGTAATTGAGCAATGCGCTCCCTCCTCTGGTATGATGTAGAGCAGAATCTTCATTTCTTTATAGATGTTAGTAAATGATACCCTCTTTCTTAGATATCTTGAATTGAACGTTTACATTTAGAAGAGGCATCGATATGGAAGGAAGGGAAGGATTTAAAGTTCAATGAAGAACACGGCATTAAGAACAGTAACCGCCACGTCCGCCGCTGAGGGCCGTTTGTTGAGACTAGGAAGGAAGGTCGTATGGGAAGCGGATCAAGTCCATATCTGACAAGCCATCACCACCATGCAGAAGTGTTGTGCGGTGACGCGTTGGTATCCAGCCGCCTGCTTCACCTTCATCTCCGTACCCTCCCTCACCACCCCTCTGATGTGGTGATCTCAACGCGCTTCTGGGATCTGCCTCAAATATCACCACCACCACCACTACTACTACGACGCTCCACTCACACTCAACTCTACACCTTACACATACCACCTATCACCTTTTCTTGAATCGAGTTACATTTACTTGCTGCTTACAGTCACTCAAGTTTAAGCTTCATACCTTGTAGCATTATAGTTTCTTCTTTGTGCCTAACCTGTGTGACATACATGAATTCTTGATATTTTTGAAATTGTACGTAAATTAATTTGAAATACTTTCTGTTTTGATTTGATTTAAATCGTTTTAGTCTCGGGCCTAGTTTCACGGACAAAATTTTATTTTGTTGAACATAGAATGCTCAGTGTCCTACAGTTTGTTCATCTTTACTTGTTCCAGGAATTACATGAACGATGCTTTACGAACTGACGTGTTTATGCGGTATTCGCCGGAGGCCATTGCCTCTGCCTGCATTTGGCTAGCAGCTCGCAAGCTGAGAGTGCCTCTTCCGGAGCAGCCGCCCTGGTACCACATCGTGAACGTCTGCATCGAGGATATCCAGGTCAGTGCAAGCTTCCAATGTGCCTCAAAAGAGATATGCACACTTAAGGGTTCACAATTCAACCGAAACTTCTTCTTTAACAATGAATTTGACTTTGGTTACCTCTGCAGGGCGGTTTTGCTGAATAGAACAATATATGCAGTATGCAATAATTCAGAAATAATTGAACAACTAAAAATTTTGAGTTTACCGTATGGTGAATTCTTGTGTTTTTAGACTTCTTACTTTTTGTTTTTATTTTTTATTTATGACACTATGAATGTGCGTTTCGTGACTTGAACTGGACATCTCTATGCGCAGATGATTGCTGCATCCATATTGAAGCTGTACACTCGACGCAAAGTAAAACTTGAAACCTTGGAAAGCAAAGTTGAGGAAATAAGGAAACTGCAGCAAGAAGCGCGTTTACGTAACAAGTTTTTGCCCCCCAACCCACTGCAACAAAACACGCCTCTTCAAGCTCCAACCAGCACCTTCAGCCCTGGCAGCCGTACTCACTCCCCTCGCTCTGCCGTCACTTCTGATAAGAACAAGCCTATTTCGCGTAAATACAAAGACCATCACCGCAGTGACAGCGAAACCAGTCGCAGCTCACGTGAGTAAATCATTCTTTGTGATACGAGTCTTGCACTTAACTCTTGTAGCGATCAATCTTTCGTTCGATCGGTTGCTTATCAAATACTGGAAAATTTTTGACACTTCGTAATCTACTCCACACAAGTCTTGTGCAGTTGATTGTTTAATTTTCAAAGTAATTTATAATGGTATGACACTTATCCATGTGGGGAAATATTAAATCGTAACTTTCTGTGCTTTGAAGTTTAATTGTCAGGTAAAATGGTAGTTAAGTTTCTATTGCCATTTAGAATGAGTCATCAATGAACTTCTTTCCAAAAAGCATTTTACTATTTTATGTTAGAAGTGCAAACTTTAATCAAATCGATAATTGATCTCGAAAAACGCAATTCTTGATTATTATTGAGACATTGAAAATCTTGTAAAAATTTATCTCGTTATTAGTCCTGTTCTTTGGTGAATATTTATTAATTTTCTTATCCTTTACCTATACCTATAACAGGATCGCCACGCTCCCGTTCAGATGTCAGTCCCCGCAGTCACAAAAAGCCACGGCGATCAGATTCACGCTCGAGGTCTCGTTCACATGACCGCCATCATTCACGCGGCAGATCTCGCTCTAGAGATCGTCACTCACGCCATAAATCTCGCTCTAAGAGCCCATCTCCTAACGTCACCCCTCCTCTCCGCTTCATCAAAAACAAGTGAGTGGAAATGCTTCTTAAAATGAAATTTTCAGTAAAAAGTAAAAGTGATGCACGTTTGATTGAATCGTTTGCAATATGAATAAATTGTTAAATTAGACCTTAATATCAATTTCATAATAAATCTGATTTAAGTAATAAAATAAATCAGCTTAGAATGGCTCAACCTGGCCGTTCTTAGATGTTTAATAGCTGATATTTGGGGTTGATGGAATTTTATTCTTGTACAAACAATTATTTTGATCATTAACAAGATCTGTACTATTAGTTACTTATGTTGAATTATCTCCTTTCTAGGGGTAAAGGCCCGATTGTGCAATCAGTGTCGCGGTCTCGATCACGTTCACCAATACGGACCTACGAAAAGTACGAACGTCAAGACAAATACAGCGGCAGCAGCAAGCACGACAGGAAAGACAAACACGACAAATACTTGGAGAAAACTGACAAATATGTAGAACGATATGATTCTTACGAGAAGAATGAGAGACAACTAGAAAGTAAGTACGATAAAATGGATCAATATGACAAGCATGACGCAAGGTATCTCGATAAGGATAAGTACGGTTATGAAAAAAACTCTAAGCAGAGTGAACATTACGAGAGGTCGGATTCATACATAAGGGATCATCGCGTTTCCAGAGATGAGAAAATTAATTTAAATTCAAAGTACGTTGCAGACGTAAAAGACAAAAGCGGAAAGTACTTGAAAATTGACAAATATGATAAGTACGAAAAATCAGAAAAGAACGATAAATTAGAAAAGTATGAGAAGGAAGACAAGCACAAGTACAAAGCCTCCAAGAAGAAATCGCACGAATCTAAGAAATCTTACGACAACGGATATGAGAAGTCCCACAAAAGCAAAAAAGCCAACAGACATCGCTCCAGGTCCAGGGATCGGCGACGATGAAGTTGAAATAGGTAACAATTTTCGTACCTGGCTCAATTTAGATATTGTGAGCCAACGTCGCTTCTTCAGAACATGGTTGTGATCTCTTGTTTGAAGAATTTTACTGCATTTTAAACAATTGTTTTTATCTATAATGTTGCACAGTAGGATATCAATCTGTATTGGTCGTGAAGGAAACAGTCTGACATTTCTCACGTTATTCAAACAATTTCCTCGATGGTGCCATAATTTCGCCTCAATTTTTTATTTATTCCTAGTACAATATTGACGAAACTACTATCAGATCTTACCTGTGCCAGATTATCTTGCCGATAGTGGCAGTCTCATTTGTCGCAACTACTAAGATCGTCGGTTTAGTTGTCAACTACTGAACCGAGTACCACGGATGATTTGGCTCGTCCTTGTTTAGTTAGCCCATCCTCGGTGGAATTATTATTTGCTATCTAACCCTGTCACCTCACATGGTCCAACAACAATTCTCCAATTTGTTTCGTGTGCTATCTTATGAGTTGCCAATCGCAGTTTAACTTAATTGGTAAGAAATGTGGTCGACTGTTGGTAAATCAGAACTCTGTCGCTCTTTCACATTGCAAGACGCAAATGCGTGCCCTTGCTTTATGTACCTACGCTGGTATCTGTGTATATCTTATGTTAATATTACAATAAAATATTTTTATAATCTTACCTTTAGTTTTCATTTCATATGAAAAATCTTCAGTTTCTAATTACCTAGCTTCCAAGAATATTTTTTCGCGGATACGAGAACAGAGCGATTACTCGGTAGCTGTAATTCGTTATTGATTGAGAGTTACGGCGCTGATAAAGGCCCACATCTGACCGAAAGTGCTCCAATCCTACATCTTTAACATCCCATAAGAAAGTAAATCAAAACATAGTGAGCATTTTTTTTCGGCTAATAATTGATTCGTATATTTTTTGGCCGCCTCACGTTGCGCGATAAGTTGGAGAGCATGCATCTCTCTCCCACAAATGACTAATGGTATGAAGGGCTCTAGTCTTGCGCCCGACAGCCTTTTTATGGGGCATTGATTTGTATGGTTATTTTTCGCAATGTCGAGTCGATTATTTCCTCATAGCTGCACAGCATACGTTCACCTGTAGCCCAAAACATTACCACGTTTCTTAGGTGTTTAAGCAAATGAAGAATTGTGGATCATGTTGGAACTATCAAGACTTATTAAATCTGATTCTTGTTGGATGCACCAGTCGTTCTCACAACTATTGTAACAGAAAACTGGACAATGGAATGTGTTTTTTCTTCAGTTTACCAGCCGTGAATAAAGGCCAATGCAGCGAATTTCTCGACGTTACCACAAGACGTCGACGAGTGACTTGTTTTCCCTGCATCCTATAATGGCAACGACTTTGAATAATACCGCTTCAACCCCTGCCGCATAGTCGCAGTGAACTGATAGGATGGTTCCGTCAGCATCAGCAATGACCCAAGGTTTCAGTAGTTTTTCATTCAGCCGCATTGAGTGCATGTGCATCACCTGGGAGTAGAAAGTTATGCCTGTTACTGTAAAATTTATGATATACGATACTATATATTTTCCTGGTGCAAAATCTGTTACTTGCCAGTAGACAAGCTACATAAGTAAGTATAAAAAGTAATAATATTTACAGATCACATTACATTGCCATGATTTATCATGATCCATTATCCTCACCTTGGCAGCAATGACAGTGTTGTTGCAGTTGGCTGATTTGGGGCTGTATATCTCCTGAACCCATCCACATCTATCCATAAATTTCTTGAAAGCTTCAAGGTTTTGCATGCCTTGAATTCGTGCAAGGTGTATTGGCTGACTCCAAACACTAAATAGTTTAGTAAATCACCTTGTGAAACGGGAGGCAGGCTTGCAAAATCTGCACACCACTGCTTTGCTGGCACTTCTTATAGGGATCAAGATCAACATCGCAAATGTCGAACAATTTTCTTAAATACCGGTCTCTCGCGGAAGGAAAGAGTTTTTGACAATAGTTTAATCTTTTTCGCTTTGCTCTTTCTTTCTCCAATACCACTAAAACTAAAACATTCGAACGTGTAGGAACGAAAGAGTAAGGTAAGCGCGAGTGTGCAACAAACATGGCTGCGTAGCAACGCGGATTGCGTGGAAGCGCGGGAGATTGGCGAGCCCGAATGTGGATACAAAAGCGTTTGCAATACAATTGACCTTTTTTTTAGTACGAAAAAGGTCTAACAAAGTCACTAAAATTTTCACTCAGATTTGGTTTCATCATTCTTACGCTCCTTTTAAAATTTGTTGAATGGCTAATTAGAATTTATCAAGTTATACTAGTATTTTTGCCAATCATGATGACATGTCTATAGGGCAAGTGATTTCTCTTCGTAAATTGCCTATGTCTACACTTTGACTCAGAAGGTTTTCGATATCTCTATGGTGAATGTGTTCGATTATATGTCTCTGTTTTGTTTGGCAACATATCATACTCGTGCTTCTGGACATTACAATTTTTTTTATTTATAATATAGATGTTTACTATTCATCTTAGTCATGCAGAGACTGCACCGTCTTCCTCCTACAGAAATGAGATTGCAACTTTCTATTGAATTCGTCGGCAATTTTTTGTAACAAAGTAATAATAATTTCAAATTTTCAATAAATATAAAATATCATTTAGGGTGCTATAAATTTTTTTCAAGAAGGCCAAAACCTCTTCAAATGGGTCCAATATTGCCTCTGGCTTCAAATCAAAACATTTTTATCTTTAATCATTAAGGCATAATTATTTGATTTATGATGATAAACTTACTAAACTTTATTTAATTTCTAATGTTTGATAGGCTGCATCATAGGCACAAGAGTTATATGTGCACTGAAATGGTTTTCACTACCTTGAATTTAAAATTTGATACTAATTAAGTGATTTAAAATGGGCCCGCTTGTGGCCTTTATGTTAGCTAAATTGGCTTTTTTCTTTTGGCCAATCTGACAACCTTAGACTCACTTTGACACTGGCAGCTTTGAATGTGACTGGCGCCCACTTAGTGTTGCAAATTCAGCTATTTTCACGCTAAACCTAGNTGTGGCGTGTGTTCGGAACACCATCTACATACTGCTGCTCTTAGGTGATTTTTGTCGACCACTTTCATGCGCATTTATGTCAGCATTCACTGTTTTGGTTAAAATGCACTATCCAATCAAACGCATTTATAGACGCCCTACGGCCAAATAATCTAGGTATCACGGCCACCAAAGCATGCATGCATTTTCGATCTCCTCCTTTCATATTTTTAATATTCAATAAAAAACAACATCTAGTCATATTGATCTGTTTAATTTCATGGAAGTTAATAAGTTCTGTACTTCGTCCCTGTAGGCGCAGACTGGCTGCATAGCTGACGAGCGTTTGAATTGGCCCGCTTTTTTTGTTGCCGAGGTCTTGCCTTGCAAGTATACTGAGTATAATTTTTCTTTGACTGAGATTGAGTAATAAATAAAATATATTCCTCTAACTGATAACCTGGTGCAGTGTTATTCAAACTAAGTAAAGAAGCAACACAAGTTCGTTCTCTCATGAATGCGCTTGGATTACGTACTTGTAAACCTGAAACAGATGTCGCTTGTACAGCGGCCACAATTCCCCAAACTAGTTTTTTTAACCTTGAACTTGAGAGTTGCGTTCAGAACCTTGGCTGCTCTCACGAGTCCATGACTTTTCGAGCACAGACTATTCTGATCGAGCTGTAGGAAAAGTATTTAGGTAAAGCCTACCTGACGAATAAGTGTTTTTTTCACTGAGGGCATAAATGGACATTATTAGTCTCAGATCTGGTCCTTATAGCACTTCTCACATGAACGTACGCTTGATTCTTTAGACGATTTTAAGTTATAGGATGATCATCTTACGTACTATTGCGATGAAAATATAACCAAACGATATCATAAATATCTAGATATCATAAATGATATCATTTCCTAACTAAAACCATTTATTTTATGTAACATCCGTGCTTTGAACGATCGCATTTCTGCAAACGTGAAGAAATGATTTTCCCTTAGCATGAACACTTTGAACAGTTTGCTATTAACCGTACACGAAATTAGAATTTGTCTCTAGAAATTAGAATTGGTTTCTATGCCCATATATTTTTTGCAGAAAGTACAATATCTTTATTCTGAGCACTTGTATTTGAAGTTCTGGTTGGTCTCCACATAACATATTGACTTAATTAATTCTGTTGAGCTTTCTAGATTATTTGTCTTGATTCGGGTCACGTACGCTCATTTATGGTTGATGTGAAGCATTCGTTGAAGCATTGCGTTCGGTTTTCTCCTCGGTTGACTGCGAGTTTTGTGCAGTGCCATCTTTGAACGTTACCGGAGTTCTACGTTGGCTTTTTGTTGAATTCCTATTTTCATACAGCGTCCGAAGATCAGCAACAGATAATGCACCTGCCCCCCTTGTACAAATTCTACATTGCAGAATATATTTTTTCACGGATGATGATAAATTAAGGGCTAATCATACTGTGATTATTGCGAAATTTTTGTTGATGCGAGGGTAGAATTCCTATGTAAGAAACATAATTTCGTTATCGAGAGTAATATCTCGTGGGTCTCAATGCGGTAAATAGAGGAGTGTGCTTCAGGCTTCCTATCTTATCAAAGCTACTGACTAAGGTCTTGATAGCTGCATATTTTTAGTGACGTATATGAGGTTATTGTGTAAATCTTGTCTTTTCAACAACGTAAGCAAAAACTCGTATCTTACCTTCTCCAGTGTCATGGTCTTCATCGTTTTCCCCCTCCTCTCTTAGCCACAGAATTTACATCGTTCTCTTAACATTTGAAAACTAGATAACTACGGTTGCTCATGGCGGATTTGAAATTTTATGTGTTTGAAATTCCTTGGAAATTATTTGCGTTCTTACCCCGCTACCGCCTGACATGAGTAACCGAAGCAATATTGTCACAAGCCTATTTCCCAAAAGGGATACGTTCTAGTGAGCGCAAAATGACTTGCACTGACGGTTGCCGCCACGTACGACTTTAAAATGTTCTTTGTTGCGTAGAAACGTCCTCAGGTTGATACACTCAATAGTTTACGTATAAGTGTAACTGTGTATGTTCCCGGAGAGTGACATACAGCGGTAGAGGGTTAACAGTGATCACAGAAGAGGACTGCGTTGAGGCTCTTCTTTGAGCAACGAATTATTGGATAATTAGTTTATCTTCTTCTATACCTCTAGAGTTTTTTAGACTCTTCTTGAAGTTCAATTTTGAATCCCATAAGTAGACCAGCAAAATATCATGGATACCAGCATTATCATACATAAGAAATGGGTTCAAATCTTGGCATTTTCTTGGGTAGTCCGTAGATGGGAAAATTAAAAATAAACCGATTCTAAAAAATAAGTGGTTTGTCACTATACGTATGACAACTTTAAATATTCTCTGTTGCGTACAAACCTCCTCAGGTTTGTACGCAATAGTTAACGAATAAGTGTATGTTTCCGGAGAGTGACATACGGCGGTATAGAGGGTTAACAGTGATCACAGAAGAGGACTGCATCGAGGCTCTAGTTTGAACAACGAATAATCTTCCTCTATACCTCGTACTACTCGAGGCTCTAGACAGGGCGCTGAATGCATCCGTAATTTGCTTACATTTTCCTCTGTTGTTCGCACTTTCCATCGAATGTTAATCTACTAGATCACTAAATTTATTTTAATCGTGGATATTGGTAAAATACATTCATTTTAGCTTTTGTGATAGTTTAAACTTTCTTTACTTGACCGTTAATGGGATGTCAGTTTGATTTTAATTTGTTTTTTCTTCCCTCAAGGGGGACTTCTGACGCGTGTCTGTGCTCGTCAGAAGTCCTTTGGGAGTTCGCGCTCCTAGGGGGATTGTTCCTGAGCGCCCCACCGCTGAGCTCGCGGTGTCTGACTGCAGTTCTCAGTTGTGGGGTTAAGTTATTATGTAGGTAGGATTCCTTACATTTCCCTTCTCTGTATCTATCGTGCGGGCGGCCGACGTCCCGTGTAAGCGACCTCTTGTTCGAGTGTCTTAGTTTCTGTTGCTTTTCACCTGTCCCTCCTTGTCACTTCGTCTCTTTGAGATGCTAACGCTGCTTCTTTCGAGCCAGCTTCAGCGGGCTGGACAATTGAGGCCTTCCGCCCCTTGTGGGTGATGAACGATTTTTTGATTTAAGAAACTTTCAATAATCGAGTCCTTCCATCTCGTTAGTGATGTTAATTTTGAATTTCGGTGCGAGATAGCTAAATAGCTGAAGCACTAGTAAACATGTTGCAATTAAACTAACTGACTTGGTTTTTTTTTTCTTATACAATTTTATGCGCGTTGACGAAGTGTGCAGTGTATGCGGCATTGACAGGCCGTTCCTGTGACCATACGGCACCAATTGCATAATTTGGATTGTATTTGTTCTAATATCAGTTGAAAGACATCTTTAACGTTTTCTTATCATGCAATTGTTATTATACGAAATAAAGACGCACAATTTCACTTTGACCTACCGATTATTCGCGCCCACAGCCATTGCGCTCTCGTAGGCGCTGTCATTTTCTACAAATTTTGCACCTATAAAATGGCTTTAAATGTGCGTGCATTTTATCCCGTGTGCAGGTAAACTTCATCTTCGCCCAACTGATGGCCATTGCGCTCTCATGGGCGCTGTCATTTTCTACAAATTTTGCACCTTTAGTGTGGCTTTAAATGTGCGTGCATTTTTTCCCGTGTGCAGGTGAACTTCATCTTCGCCCAACTGATGGCCATTGCGCTCTCATTTGTGCTAAGGACGCGGCTACCGCCCCTCCCTGGCGGCGACGGATATACCAAACAACAGCAGGAGCACAGACAGCAGCAACGACATCAGTTTGCTCTCATTTCCGGACTACTTCTCACCTACTTCTGTTTTGGCAAGTGAGCATGTTGTTTTACCAATTTTTGTTATGTATAATTGAACTTTGTTTATGCAAGCTTTGTTTTATTTTTATATTCCTCTAATTTCATTTTTCGTGTAGGAGGGAAGATTTTATCTTTGATGGCAAGTCCGATGAGAGAGACATTAATCTGTCAAAGATTGTTGCTGCCACGAAGCACTAGGTAGTGAGCTCATAATATTATAACTAACTAAGCTTATTCCTTTGCACTGTAAATGATTCTCCCCACGCCTACTTGATGAATGCTGAGTAATTTTTAAGCATCTTTGAGAAGATAAAATGCGAGGGAAAGGAACAAACTAGATGTTCAATATTGTTGATGTACAACCGAGTGCAGTGGCTTAAAGTCTGCAGCGGAAGACATGAGCGGATGTGTAGTGATCGTGAGCCCTGTAACCTCGGGGCGTGTTGTGTTCTTGGCAGCTAAGGTCAGCGCTGTTACTGGTACGGCTGTGAATATTTTTGTGTGGGTAACGTACAGTAACTAAAGCCCATATGCAGTAAACTAAAGCTCAAGTTTGTGTCAAAGGCGTCTGGGTGAAACGTTATTTGTCGCGGTAACGCCACGAGCTGTAAATTTCGTTTGCACACTCGAGAATGTTGACTTCATGTTGAACCCTGTCTCTTGTGCTGGTATTTCCACCCGCTAATCTTCAGTTCAGTGGTCAACCAGCAGCCGTTTCATTTCTTCTTTTTAACAAGTGGGGATTTTCACGCCCATAACTCCACATGGCACGCTAAATATTGATTTTTTTTCCATTTCAACTTTTTTGTAGTGTGGGCAAATAACGCTATATTATATGAGGCATTTGAATCTAATGCTTCCAATGAAATCAATCTCTTGAAGAGAAAATAATTCTTTACTCGGATCGCGCACTTGGAAAGATTGGAGATCCTTCCGCCATCGCCTGCTTTCTGTCTTCATAATTGGTAAGACTTAGAAGTTGATATTCCGGAGCTGATTCATTATAGGATCTGTGTAAAAATTTACAATTATAATGAACTCGAGATTGTTGTGCAGAAGCAGGACTGTATTATGGATTTTAACTTGCCTAATTATTATTATTGCCTAATTAATTTCTTTTCTATTCTATTCTATTCTAATTGACACAGTGATTATCAGCTTTCAATGTTGTGTGAAACTGAGAGCTGTCGAAACTTCTCAATTTGGGTTTCCAGTTAAGTAACAACTATAAATATGTATTATTGGTGTTACAACTTGAGCTTTATCCTTTGAGTGTTAAGTTCATTTTTCATTAATTAGTAAAATTTGGAGTCACCAAAGACAGGCACCGAGGAAGTTTAACATTACAATAATCTTGTGTAAACACAATAATGGAAGAATGCTGTCATAGATACCGGTAATACTTGAATTAGAAAAGTTTCCACGATATCATGAAATGGTTTAAAGATATTAATACTTTAGTACTTTCCGCATTTGAGTTGAACCTTCATTGATTTATGAGCGATCATTTATAGATGTAGCGACTTGCGTGTTTACTTAAGATCTTCTTGGCACTCGCTGGCGCGAGAGCAACTTCAAGCTTGGCAGCAAATCTTGTTGATCTGCACAAATGTATCAATTTAAATTGGAAATTTATGAAAATTCAACTGTGTACGTTTTATGATTACTTATTTAGAGATTGTGAAAATTATAAATGAGAAGTTGGTTTACATAGATCACTGGTTGTATACATTTTAAACGAGCTGTATGTGTATATAGAGAGACACTCATGATTATTCAGGCGTGTATTATACAGATTACACTTCCGAAAATGGTATTATATCCATCTGTGAACGTAATGAATCCGATCTGATGTGTTTTGTATATATTAGACCTTGCTGAATAAATATTATAGGATACGACTGAAAGGCCAAGCGAAGATTGGATTACATTACATTTATGAATGTGTTTCCTGAACCTGAACTTGTTTAGTTTCTATTAGATAAACTATCATTACGCGAGTCTAAAATCATCAACCATGAATTCCACTATACAATACATGTGAAGCGGGAAGTATTTCCTGTAATGCACTCGTGTGTCTTGTAGAAACTCTTCCGCGCATATATTGGGCTGTTTATTAGACTTTCTTTATGCTCTGTTTACGGTGGCAGGGCTTGGCAAGATTCCCCTCAATATTAGATCGTTGCGGGGATTATTACATTAGCTTTTCATAATTACTGAGTGACCAAATTGGCATTTATGATCTTTGGTGTAGAATGCCGTTACTTTAATTTATTTCCATGTTGTTCATAAAATTTATACCAATTATCAGACGTCTTGTCAATACCTGTTTATATATTTTGCGTGTTGCTGTAGGCGATGGCAGCGTAAATTAACCTTGAATGTCTGGACATTTTTCTACCACACACAGGCGTAGAATAATCAATATTCCAGATGTTTTCGATCCTAATTACGCTACATTTTAATTCGCTTTTCTAATATATGCGTTAAGCTAGTTTGATTCTCTACAAAATCGGTCTTTAAATGGACAATTGCTTGCCTGAAAGCATTTTAAAGAATAGAACGACCCTGCGTCGAAGCATCGCTCTGTATTACTAAAATAATTACAGTATGCTACGTAGACGGCTACTCTGAATGTTAGTGATGGTTCTGATGATGCGAGTTGAATTGTAGACGAAACAGGAGCCGTTCGTATCGGCTGTCTCATGCGTGCTAGGATGTGGGTGAATGACTGGAATCATATACCTATCACATCTCAGTCTCGCCCCCGAAAAGCGACAACTCGAGCCAACACTAGCCCCATTTAGCAATGGAGAAACCTATTTAGCGTAAACACCGCCAACATACTTTTCAAGGAAACTAGAAATAGTTCTCAGTTGTGGAGTCTCTTGTCATATAAGGTAGTGAGCTCTGTAACTTTACAAGGCCTGTGTGAAGCGTTTGTTAATTTTGGTACGATCGGTGCGATGAGTGCAAGTCAAGTCACGCACAATCAGAAATGAATACTTTTTAAATTTTTTTTTTGAGCTTGAGTTCATTAACATTTGTAAATTACGTCAATTATCCTTGTTGAGTCCTTTTGTCCGCTGAACTCGCAACGTGCAAGTGCTGCAACTGCTTGGCTTTATGCAGACCTAGCAGGTGTTCGTAGTATAGTTCCATGTTTTGATCAAAGGCTGTTGTCATGTTGTCTCGAATTTTAGCCTAGCTTAACTAGCCATTCAGACTTTCAAAACATTTTTTTTGTGCGATGTTCGTGTGCACGATGGATGAAGAATTTCTGCTAATCTTTTCTCCCAAACAACGAAAATCCTACTCCTGCAATTTCGGAACGTAAAATCACCTACTAATTTGTTCAACAGATTTACACCTATAAACGTAACCTAATGTTAATAATGAATATAAAGTGTGTATAAGAATTTATACACACTTTCCCTCTATTTATAAGTATTTAAGTATTTAATATCATTGGGTTTAAGAGCGAGAGTTGACGACGCAATTAAGGCATGCATCTCTTCCTGCCCTCGCCTGAAGGACATCATCGACTGTCGCTTCCTATTACCTGTCATGATGGTAACCAGACCCTGGTATCCACTTGCTAAATTCTGGCATTGCTGCGTGCCCACATTCTCGCGTGAAGTTTACAGCCTTCCTACCAAGCGCGCTGATTATATAGTACGATCCCTTCAGATCGTCTTATTGATCCTTACTGTCCTCGGACCCGCGATTAGGCGGATACCGCGATGAGTGCTTGCAGATTTCTTCTACGGTATTTGCATTACTTAAATCTTATTTAAGTATAATTTCTCTTCTGTTGCTACTCTCGCTGTATCAACTTTCTGATGATGTAGATGGTGGATTATTTTTTGTTTAACAACATTTCATCCCCTGTAATCTGATCAGCCAGCCGTAATCTTTCCACCGACGTGTACTCTTTCCGCCCTTATTCCTACTCATGAACGAATGCATTAATTACCCATGTTGTGGCGTCATGCGTGAGGAATGCGACCAACTCGTAGCTCTGTTCCGCCCTGGTCTCATCTGTCGAACATAGCGATGAGCCTCGTCCCACCTTAATGGTAATAAACCTTGGATGAAATCATGCTTCTATATTACCTCGAGCTGTGATGCGTCAAGGATCTCTTGCGTCCGCCACATCAACAGGCGCTCAAATCCTAGAGAACTGAGGTCTTGAAAGATGTCACGGCTTAAAGATAAAAAATTGTAGGAAGTATCGCGTTTTTTATTGTAGAATAATCCATTGAATTTAGTATTTATGTACTTGATATAGAATAATGTTCTAGCATATTTTCAAAGCACGATAATCATAAATTCGATATCTTCGCATATCAAAGATTATCTACAATTGGTGGAAGTAGGTATTAATCTCTATTTAAACTCTCGGGTTGGGTGAATTAAAACTGAATTTGTAGGGATATTTAATTAACCTAGACCCGGTAAACTACTATGCGATTCACGCCCTTTTTTGATTGTTTAGGGCCAGGATAGGAGGTGACGAACGGCCGCTGTGCTGCGATGATGTCATGCGGGCCTAATAATAGCTTTTGTGTAGTCAACGGTCTTGATAAGCCATCTCGTCCACTGTCGTCCGTACAATTTTCCTCAGTGCTCGCTCAAACTAATATCGGAGTGTAGCAAGTTCATGCAATATCGAATACCTATAGATTCTGTAAAAAACTTGTATTATTCGTCGAAAAAACCTGGTAAAAATGAATATAATGACAGCAAATTTCTCTGTTATAAAAAATGTGTTAAAATCCGAATGCGTACATGAGGCTACCTGATTGAGCCTGCCTGCACCACTCTGACGGACTGAGAAATACTAGTTTTTCCCAGCCTGATTTAAGTAATTCGAGTGATTGATATGTAGGCGGTTTTACCAGCGACTTTAATTGGACTATTGCACATGGATATTTACTCAATAATCTTGTGTATGCTTGTTTTGAGTATTTTTTCACATCAATACTTGTCCGACTAAAATGTTTGCCTGTTATTTATTTGAAAAAAAAAACTTCTTCATTTCTAACTCGCGTGTGTTTTTAGAGTTATCCTAAAATTTATCGTGATTTGTTTAATTGTAGTCGTTAACTCGATCAGATTTACCATCTCATTCAATAGTGATCCTAGCGATTTCCAAATAAACGTTCTTTACTCGACACCACCGCAACTCCATCCTTGCATAATCTGAACAAGCCGGGGGCTTTTTTCTCCAGAAATTTTTTTGCTGAGTTGGAAAAACTATGTTCAGTAATTAATGCTTTCGCTATAATTTCAAAAAGATCATCATCATGACTTTCTTACATCATATGTCTTGTAGAACTAAATTCTAATGTAGCTAATCAGTTGAAGAAAAGTTGCTCTGAACCATACGTTGAAGATAAGACGCCTTCTGCTTATTTATGAGCGCTTTTTTATATGTGTAAGGAGTCTTCATAGACCGAACCGCCTGACAGTGAAGAACAGTACCTGCATTGTTCTGTCCTTGGAAACAAGTAACTTGTGTTCTGATGCGTCGACTTGCGGCAACTATTGCTAGAAAAATTCTGTGTACTTATCCGATGCCGGTTAGAACTCTTCGGAACGACTGATGCAAGTTAACTGTTCTCTAATTTTGGGTTGTACTGGGGTGGTTAATGGTTATATCACCTTCTCTTTTTTTCATTGCGCGTAATTCCTTTCTCAATGTACTAGGGGGTACCCAAAAAGGAATGATTTTTTATAAATTTATTTATTTATCAAAAAATCTTCCTTTAGAATTGGCTGGAGTGAAGTCCAAATCACTTGGAATAGTTCCACAACCACAAGTTTGTCAATACGTCTACGTCGATCTTCATGAACTAGGTCCCCAATTTTCCAAACATTTTCTTCAGTGTAGTTAGTAGGACGACTTCTGCGAGGTTAGTCATCAATTGAAATATTAGTCAATATTGAAAAGTTAGTCTGTAGAATTTACTTTAAATTTAATAGTAGCTCATTGCAAAAAAAAATTCAGTCATCAAAAAACGAGGCGCGCCCAAAAAAGTGTAACAAAAGAAATTTGCGAGTGTGAAACACGGCCTTCAAAGGCAGCAATGCGTGCCGCATTAACTGATTAATGTTAGTAGCGGTACTTCCAAAACATCGGAGAAAGCGGTACTTCCAAAACTTCGCCCACCACAGTCAGTCCGTTTTTTTAACACCCCTCGTCTCAGTAAATGTGTGCAGAGCCGGATTATTCGAAGAGCTCATTTGCATACAAGCTGTGGCTGCTGGTGCTCACCACGACGCTTAATTGCACGACATGGCTGCTGGCCGAGGCCGGGTGCAACATCGACTCAATTTTCCCTCTCGGCTCGACTTGAGCCTAGTGAAAAAAACACTTGGACATGTTTCTTTATCCGTTTGATATCTCGAGGCTTATCAGGCGTCACTACGTTGAAGTGTGGTCAAGAGGCGTTGCTCTTGCAGCTCTCGCTCTCAATTCTACAATAGTTAATAACTCTAAAACTTGACCTCTGATTGCTCCAAACTGAACACTCAAATGCGTCAGAAAAGAGTGACATGTCCCGAGCGAAAGAAGTGGTATTATTCTTGTCCTAATGAAACTTTATGTTCTCCGGTTGAATTTTAACTAAATATTAAATACAAACAACAATTTCTATATGCTGTTGTTATTTCGCGTGTCATTATATCTGTGCAAACTAGATTTTTTGAAAGCATTTTTTCGAAAAGAGCAGCAAATGTTATGTTGGTGTCAGAGTGTTGATGCGTGTTGTGCTTATAATTGTCTTGCTGGTCAGACAAACGCTGCTGGCGCTGGTGCTGGCGGGTGTCTGCTACATGTTGCTGTGGACCATCCCTGCGGTGTCGGTGCACCGCGTTACTCTCGTCGCCTGCATGAGCTTCTTGTCAGCAGCGCACGTGTACAGGCAGTCGCTGCAGCAGGCCGCCTTCGTCATTGATATCACAGGTGCCAATAGCAACGTCTTACTAGCGTGTATTAAATTAATCAAATTCACAAGAACCGGACCAAGATAGAAAGTTTCTAGTTTAGAAATATGTGTACAATAAACAAGTTACTAGCGTGTATTGAATTAATCAAATTCACAAGAACCGGACCAAGATAGAAAGTTTCTAGTTTAAAAATATGTGTACAATAAACATGTTACTAGCGTGTATTGAATTAATCAGATGCACGTGTGAGAGAATACTAGCATGTATTGAATTGAATTGAAGTGATAGAACCAGCTGACGATAAGAAGATTCTAGCTCAGAAATATGTGCCCGATTCAATTAATTAAATTTTTACTGGGTTTCCAGTGAGAGAACCGGACCACGATAGGTAGATAGTTATGATTTAATGATAATGATCCTTGCGTGATTTTGGCTGAACAATTATACATGTGTTAGTGTGATAGTTATTGTATTAATGATAATTATTTTTGGGGCGCACCATGTCCGCATTAACTACTTCTATTAAGTCTTCTGAAGTTCAGCTTCAGAGTCCCCTTAGATTAAAGATGGTAATGAAGATGATGATTATTATAAGTAATGTATTCAATATGTTTGTAATAATAATAATGACAAAAAATATGATGTTTCTCTTATCCACCTTGAATATTTGTGAAAAGTGGAATGGCGAAATAAGTTTTTTTTAGTAATGGGATATCTGAGAGAAGTACCCCATTTATACATTTGTATCGATTCTTTTTGTTGTTGTGTGTATTACTTCTTTTTCTTATTCGTCCTGTTTATGTATATAGGTACGTCTGATGGTTTTATATTATTGAAGATTCAAAATTATAATCGAATTATGATTTTTAAATGGAATTTGAGCATTACGTAATTAATACTGAACACAAAATTTAACATATGGTCAAACCGGTTTCGTTTCTCATGAGTTAAAAACAAAATCTCAATTTATATCTCGCCCTGCTAGGCCCGCTGATGCTGATGGTGCAGAGAATATCGACGGTAGCGTTAGGTCTCCACGACGGCCTCACGAAAACGCCGGAGAAAATGACGTCCCTACAACGCTACAATTCCATCACGTCAGTAATGCGTCAAATGTAACCCGTCCTTATAACGCTACAACTCCATCACGTCAGTAATGTAACAAATGTAACCCCCCTTATAACGCTACAACTCCATCACGTCAGTAACGCATCGAATAAACCCAACCTTATGTCAGTTCTTTTATCTTAATTTTTTATCTTGTTTCTCTAAACTCGTGGTTTAAAGTTGTTTCGTTATAGATGATCCGTTTAGATATATAGTACTTTTTTTCACTAGGCTCGAGATCATTTTTTTAATTTCAACTGGTGTGACCTTTCTGCTAGAAGTAAACGTAGCTCTTCATTCACATGCGCAAATCATTTGTTAAAACAGATCGGAATTTATCAGAAATCGGAAATTTTTTTTATTACCATATCAGTGAAGTACGTGTGCGCTGTGAATTTCAAAGGGCTTGATAATAGACTATTTGTTGCATAAATATGGTTCAAAGTTAATTTATGTGAAAACTCCTAATTTTTTACTTGTTAAAGAATATATTTCTGTATAATTCCAATTTCCTCACTCGTGGTGTTTTATTTATTTCAGGAAAAAACCGAGTGCACTCGAGTATTTCAGTTACTTGCTGAGCTTCCAGTCAATCTTGGCGGGTCCCTTCCTGATGTACTGCGACTACAGGGATCACATCAACGGCAACGACGAGTTCTCCAGGGCGGTGCTGCAGTACAAAGTGAGTCTTGTTCTCAAATTGAGTCTCAAACAAAAGCGAGTCTCAAACAAAACAATTGTTCTCCACCAGAGCGTTACTAAATTTTCGTCCATTGTTCTTAAGTATCTTTTGTACGTTGAAATAACGATAAAAGAGTTCAATGTAATCGGCTTCAATTCTCTCTCAAACGGTCTTAGCCGTTTGAAACTTGAGTAGATCAAACCTGCATCTTTATACTTGATAGCTCATGTTTAGGTTAGATGATTAAACAAGGTTACACTGCTTCCTTTATATCTCCCCTAGACACGATTTGTAATTGTGGTCCACTTATTTTATGTTTTTTCATTCAGTCCGTAAAACAAGCTCAGCTACGCGAGACCGACAGAGCTCCTGAAGGCTCCTCTAACCCGCCCCTGGTGCCTCTGAAGCCCGTCAGCGTTGCTTTCAGGAAACTCGCCTTGGGGGCCTTGTTTGGAATTTCGACGGTCTGCATTGCCTCTCGCTTCCCTGTCAGCCTCCTCACTGGTTTGTATTTTGCCCCACGGCTGTGATGATGAAAGTTCTTAGAATTTTCGGCTAAAATTTATAGACGGTTCATTGTCTCTTTTTAAGAACTTACTAGTGTGAACGATGGAATTCGTTCACTGTTAGCCGCGTTCATTTATTCATTTCGTTTGCATTTTCTAGTCTTACTATGCACAGAGCGTATAATTGTACAGCTGCGTGTGGCATGGTCGCCTGGGTAACATTGCAGTCCGACCTTCCTGCAGTGGCAGTAACGTTACGCGAGGTCAGGTCTGACTGGCTGTATGTCGGGTTCGGGTAATCAGTCGTGCCCCGCCAGCCCAATAGCGAGGTCCTAACCAAAGCTCACTCCGCTATATACCATCTCTCAGCGATCTTGTGCCCTAACGCTAGAATTGTGGCTGTGCTTTGAAAACTGTTATGAAGCTGTATATCGATTATACAGCTTATTATATTATACCTCCATCTCGCTAGTTTTTTTATATTTTCAACGTGCTTCTGTCTAAATTCTTCGTTGTCAAGTAAAATTTCGTACTGATTGAAGTTTTTAATTAACTGAAAACAATTGCAATACAATACCAGCGACAGAAACTTTTTTTTAAGATCGGTGTTTTTTTCAACATGTTAGTTACCGACGTTTGGCCGTGTAGTTCGAACATTTTGACAACACTGAAAAGTTTGACGAACGTCCGGTGACACAATATTTTCGAAATGATTTGAAAAACTATTATTATTATGGATTCGTTCGTTAATTTCGATTACGTATATTTTTTGAATAATCTGAAGACGGCACCGATAGAACCCTACATTTTTATCTCGTTATTTTTTATTGCGCGGAATTCATTTTTAGCGCATTTTCTCATTTATGGAAAAAATCCACTATTGTACTCGCCATGTCCGTCTGTCTGTCTGTCTGTCTGTCCGTCCGTCTGTCCGTGACCTCAAATTTTCGTCCACGAGAAAATGCGCTCTCTGTCACCTGTNATGCTGTCATAGATACCGGTAATACTTGAATTAGAAAAGTTTCCATGATATCCTGAAATGGTTTAAAGATATTAATACTTTAGTACTTTCCGCATTTGAGTTGAACCTTCATTGATTTATGAGCGATCATTTATAGATGTAGCGACTTGCGTGTTTACTTAAGATCTTCTTGGCACTCGCTGGCGCGAGAGCAACTTCAAGCTTGGCAGCAAATCTTGTTGATCTGCACAATTGCATCAATTTAAATTGGAAATTTATGAAAATTCAACTGTGTATGTTTTATGATTACTTATTTAGGGATTGTGAAAATTATAAATGAGAAGTTGGTTTACATAGATCGACACCAGTAGTATACATTTTAAACGAGCTGTATGATGACACTGGTTGTATACATTTTGAACGAGCTGTATGATGACACCCGTAGAATACATTTTAAAGGAGCTGTATGATGACACTGGTTGTATACATTTTAAACGAGCTGTATGATGACACCCGTAGTATACATTTTAAACGAGCTGTATGATGCCACTGGTTGTATACATTTTAAACGAGCTGTATGTGTATATAGAGAGACTTTCATGATTATTCAGGCATGTATTATACAGATTACACTTCCAAAAATGGTATTATATCCATATGCGTAAACTGTATAGTGAACGTAATGAATCCGATCTGATGTGTTTTGTATATATTAGACCTGTCTCTTATACACATCTAGATGTGTATAAGAGACAGGGAGACTAGTTATATTTTGTATCATGATATACAACTAGGCAGATGTGGGCAGTAGCGCGCTACGTGTAGCGGCCGCTACATTCGCGGTAGCGGTAGCGGCGCTACATTTAAGCAATTGTAGCGGTAGCGGTAGCGCCCGCTAACAGTTAGAGCATGTANTTTTGTCCTTCAAGGTAGCACAGTAGTTTGTCAGTTCTCCTAGTGTCTTGCTATCACACTTGGTATTTCTGAACCTAGAATAACCTTCCGGTGCCACAACAGCAGGAGTTTGGTCAACAAAGTGCTCACAGTACTCTGGTGTCACAGACAGAACAGCTGCCTTATCTCCAGTCAAATGAAGCTCTTCAAGCATCATTTTCAGTTCATCTGCATCCGGCGCTTGAAATACAGTCTTGGTAGCAGGCCCCGTGCGGATCTCCATTACTGGCATTGCACCAGGTAGACTACCATCAAGTGCACGGTCCAATGCCTTCTTCTTTGCTGTTGACGGGGTGTAGTCAATTCTGTATCCCACCTGTGGCTCCACCTTGGCGATGCTGCTTGGAACCATCCAATATGCTGGAACTCCTGAAACACAGAAAACAGCAACTCATCTAATTCAAAATGACTACACCATGTTAATTAAGCCATGAGACCATATTTGTAACTTGACGAAGCTACAACTGGAATTTTTTCTTTCTTTGGTAACACTTGCACATTGTATTGTATCCAGTCTATCCAGGCTAGGTGCTTGTCTTTAAAAGATCTATCTTTTCTTAATCCTTTTATTATCCTAATCACAGTATCAGATATGCACTCAGTTTTGAAACCAACAAAGAGCAACCAAAAATAAGGATGTTGAAGTTGAAAGCAAAAAGATGAGTTTGGCTTACCTGTGACTGTTGTTTTCTCTCTGCATCTTACAATGGCATCAACTTTGAATAATACCGCTCCAACATGTGTACAAGCCGCTCCAACCCCTGCCACACAGTCACAGTGAGCTGATATGATGGTGCCGTCAGCATCAGCAATGACCCAAGGTTTCAGCAGTTTTTCATTCAGCCGCATTGAGTGCATCACCTGAAAGTAGAAAGTTATGCCTGTTACTGTAATATTCATGATATACTATACTACCGGTATATATTTTCCTTAACGAACAATTTTCTTTTAAATACCGGTCTCTCGCTGAAAGAAGGAGTTTTTGACAATAGATAAATCCTTTCTGCTTTGCTCTTTCTTTCTCCATTGCCAACAAAACATTCAAATGTGTAGGAACGGGAGAGTAAGCTAAGGCGCGAGTGTTCAAAAAACAAGGAACGAAAGGGTAAGGTTTGGAATTTATCAAGTTATACTGGTATATTTATCAATCATGATGGCATGTCTATAGAGAAAGTGATTTCTCTTCATAAATTGCCTATGTCTTCACTTTGACTAAGAAGGATTTCGATATCTCTATGGGAAGGTGTTCGATTATCTCTTTTTCTCTGTTTTGTTTGGCAATATATCATACTCGCACGTACTTCTGGACATTAAACGTTTTTTTTATAATATAGATGTTTACTATTCATCTTTGTAATGCAGAGAGTGCACTTTCTTCTTCCTACTACAAAAATGAGGTTGCAACTTTTTTTTTGTTAAAACTTGTTTTTAGGCCACGTTATGTTTTGAATTCATCGGCAATTTTTTTAACAAAGTAATAATAATTTCAATAAATAAAAATATCATTTAGGGTGCTGAAGAATATTTGAAGAAAGCTGAAGCCCCATCAAATGAGTCCTATATTGCCTCTATCTTCCAATCGAAACAGTTTCATCTCCTATGCGTAATTATTTCACTGATGATGATAAACAGACTAAACTTTATTTAATTTCTCATGTTTGATAGATAAAATAATGGTGTGTGCACTGCAGATGGTTTTCACTACCCTTAGTGCAAAATTTGATACTTAATTTAAAATGGGCTCGGGCTCATTTGTGGCCTTTATTTGAGCTAAATTGGCCTTTTTCTTTTGGCCAATCTGACACTCTTAGCTTAGGCTCACTTTGACACTGACAGATTTGAGTGCGATTGGCGCCCACTTAGGGTTGCAAATTCAGCTATTTTCACGCTAAACCTAGCGTACTTTCAACTCATCCAGCGGAAAAAGCGAGCTTACGTGGAGAAAATGTTAGTTATACGTAGGTAAAGTGAGCTTCTTAGCTATAAAATTGGAATATTTAGCTAATTTTGCTTGGAAATGGTAGTTTTTAGCTTGCAAGCCATTGAAAGAGTTGGCAACACTGCGCTCGCTGGCTAACGCTAAGTCAGTGACACGGCGGCGGCTAACTGCTAAGTTCTAACTTTAGTATGACGAAAGATGTTGTGAGGGCAGGGTGAACTGTTGGTTTGCTGATTTTGCAGGTGTTGTTCATTAACGCCTTAAATGGTTAGAAATTAATTTGTCGCATACGAAATTTTCATTTATAAAGTTAAATAGATTTTAGAAGAAATAGATTAGAAGAGTCAGCATAAGTTTTATAAAAATACTACCATGGCTTCATCCTGGGAACAGTTTTACGATGGGTCCCGGCGTTTCCAGTTCGTGGCTGAGGCTACGAGAATGCCAATTGATCAGGTACAGACTATGCTTTAGTTTTGTAGACTAAACGATTACAGATTATTACTTCAATGCAGTGAATCCGACTTATGCGTCAAAGACTACCTACTATGCAGGAACGTTTCCGATTTGTTTGAATATTCGATGTCATGCACCGACGTACGTCATTTTCAGTTCTTCCTTAGTATCTTGAATTTTTTGGCTAAAGGAAGGTTAAGACGAGCTTCCATAAATGTATACGTTGATATGACACTTGAACGAGCCGCGAGGAATTTTTTACAAGTCAGAGTTTTAATCGCCGGTAATCCTAAGGTGTAATCTTGCCAGATGCTGTAACCTATTTTTCAAACGAGTCGCATATATTTACAGAGACGTGATTTTAAAGCGGCAATCAAATATCGTTGAAATACAATACTTGAATTTTACATAAGCTTATACTTTTCCTTCATATTTATGGTTCGTCGTTATTTTGTTTCCTCCATCGATAAAAAATTTTTAATTACTGACAATATAATTCTCATAACGTGATAATTTACAATCATTTGACATTAAGGGTACAGAAGGATATATTCTAATCGAATATATGTTAATGACACTCATAAATAAAAGGTATATATCTCAACCGTACAACGTATCTCATCTCTAAGAAATCACAGGTAAATCACATTACACTCCCCCAAAACATGTCTTCACATCACAATATAATGACATGACCCCGCTAACGATACTAATACACTAGCGTCTGTAAAATCGGAACTTAAATAAATATGTGCTTTGACATCTAACGATTCGTCTATGTCTCAGTCGCGATGTCTCAGAAAAAAGGTTAACTTGACTTAAAGATCTAAAATAACATGAAATCTTCAATCACAAGACACTGTGCCCTGACAGTAATGTAAAGCATGAAGCTGAAGACGCTATTCACGCTGTCACATCCACTATTAGCTTGCCAAGCGAGGGATTATTTATAACGTCGTCGTGAGCCTGGGATGCCTGCACACAAAGAGAATAGTTTTATTCAAAAGTTCACAAATGTTGTTCATTAGGTATTGAGTGCACCAAACATTGCCATTACTAATTACTGTATATACCTGCTCGAGTGTAGATTTTCAAAAACATAGCTGCTAAAGAGTAGATTTAAAAAAAAACTATACCTGTTAATGAGTGTAGATTTAAATGAAACATCGAACTAAAAAGTGTGGAAAGAAAATATATACCTGCTCCAGAGAGTAGATTTTAGAAAATATATACCTGCTCCAGAGTGTATATTTTAGAGACGCGAGGCACGAGTTGGCCTTTCTGCACAGCCTGGATGACAGCAGCTGCCGTACTGGCTGCTTCTTCCTGTGCATCAAACAAATTATTGCAAAATTGTTAATCGTGGTTTAAAAATCGCTAGGATTGGAAAAACTAAATTTAAAAGGAGCTAAACCATCGTGCATCCTTTTGAAGACCAATGAAAATAAAAAACCTGGCACAGTAAAACGAAAAAAACTTATTATTTTGAAATTCGAATTCTATTCTTTGCAAGTAAAAGGTTATTGTATGGATTTAGTCATTTATGTTACAAAATAGAGGTTATCTCGACATTACGGAACTAACTTTATTGCGGACCGTAACTTACTAGGGACGAGTTATTTTAGGTACTAGTAAGGGTTGTTGACTTGACGCTCGCATCCTCGTCGGAAGTCTCCTTCTGATCGATATCTTATTTGTACATACTGATTGCTGCGGCTGTAATAACGTATTATGTGGGAGTGCGTGATGTGCCAAAGCTGATGTAGAGAACCCAAGCGAAGCACTACAGTTATGGCAACAAACAATACCACGTAAAGCACCTCATCAGCAGCAGAGGGAGCACATCCCACGATGGACGCCTCGTTAGCCATGAGCAGCCTGGGGCTGATGGTCACCTCCCCTCTGCACCCCACCACCTGCAACCTCATAATATTAATAATAATAATAGCGGTTTCAGCGTTTATTAGGCCGTAGGCCTGTCGCCGATTTTTAACTCGCAGAACATTCACAGCATTTTGCGGTCTCGAACTCGCAACTCACTGCTACAAGTCTGCTGTGCTTAACCGCCCGGCCTCCTTGCCGATTCTGACCAGAAACTGGCGCACAGAGCTGGGATCGAACCCGCGCCTCTCTGCTCCAATACTGGTACTCTGACTGTATACCACTGGGCCACCCCAGTGGTGGGATAACAACGTCGGACTAATCCTCCTAGATACTTTTAACCCTCTATGAATTAAAGAGAAATAGAGAACATCATTCATGCGTAATCCATTCAACCAGCATATGAGGAAATTAATTCACAGCTACTATATGATGACCGAAGTCATTCTTACCAAATCAAAATTCTTGGGATTATTTGGAACAAATAATCGGGAAAAAAAACAATCTACAGAAACAAATCATTCATAAATACAACAATCATATAAAAGTAAATAGTTTAAGGACTTGAATGTAAATGATCTTATTTACAACTATTTAAGAGTCGATAAGAATCAACCATTGCTCACCACAACAACGGAGCGTCGGCGCAACAGACTCAAATCGTTGCCGAGGTTGACGTTCGATAACATTTCCAGCACAATGTCGAACCCTTCGCTCTCCTTTGCCTTCAGTTCATCGAGGTAACCTGCGGGGTGACTCAAATAAGAATCCAATTTGCAAAATTATGGTGAAATATTTTTGTTTATAAAATTTATCATTCAATTCTATTTATCCAACTTTTCTATTTTAATTCTGATTATTACTATTCATACAAAAAAATTCCATCATATTTACTGGAATAATGTTTGTAGATATTGCGCTGATTGCTCACATCATTTCACTTCTTATATCTCCAGTAAAAATTCAGATATGATGAGAAAAACTTGATTGTTTAACGATAGACTAAAGTTTCCATAACTATTTTATTACGCATAATGAATTACCGTTCATTACCCCTCGACGGTAAAAAGTGTGCACATATTTTTTGTGAATATTCGAGTCACTTTCATATTAAAATCTCTAATAAAAAATCACCACAATAACCTTTTTGAAATTCATTACATCTCTTTTATTGCACTACGAATTTTTTATTTTACAATTGCTGAGGAGAATTCATATCAGCAAAATTACTGCAGTTTCGATGAAAACAAAATTTCTAACACTGAACCCTGACTGTTTTTTAACCCAAGAAAAAATATTAACGTTATTGACCTTCAATATTATTAGTCTTATGGCAACACCAGTCAAAGATATTAGAATTAATTCAAATGCACAGGCGTTAACGCTTTCTTTAACAGATTCTGATAGATTCTCGTCATAAATGTTGATGGAATATCTGGAAGAAAATTTTTCAACTTAATTTTAAAATCTAAGCAGTATTGATGGAAGTAAAAAGACCAGAATTTTAGGGAAAAATTTGCCCTGCGTTTGATTTCTTAGTCAACTATTAACTAATAACGTATGAAATTTCCCATGGATAGAAAAAGACCAATATTTTAGGAAAAATTTTGCGCTGCGTTTGATTTCTTAGTAGCCTATTAACTAATAATGCATAACATTTCTCTATGTAATGCTGCAGAGGCAGTTTATTTATACCAGGTCGTCGGTGGTTGTACACGGCGGCGGCACCACACTGCAGCACGACTTCCTCGCCCTCGGCCGTGCCTGCCGTGCCTACGACGTGGAGGCCCGCAGCACGTGCGAGCTGCACGGCCGCCTGGCCCACACTGCCGCTGGCCCCGTGCACCAACACGCGATGACCTTTGCGTGCACCACCTCTGTACACACATTAATTAATAAATATTTACTCACATAATTTCAGGATAATTAACGTTTGTACGACCAAATACATAGCCGTAATAAGTAGGAGTAATTAATGCTTTATACACATAAAAAATGAACGGGATATAATGTCTACGTAGTGACCACAGCACATTATTCGGAAAATGGCCGGCTCATTTATATGAGAGTATGTAATGTAACGGTAAATATATATACCTACATACAGAAATGTGTCATTAGATCATTATAAAACATAATGCAAACTTGAGTAATAAAAACGTAATGGCATTACATACTTCAAATGAAGAGCTCTGTAAGCTGTGAATGCAGCAATTGCAAGAGCAGCGCCTTGTTCCAAATTCAAATTCTGTCAACATTGATAAAATAAAACATAATAATAGACATGATATAAAAATTTTTTTTAACATAAATTGGCAAAATACAATACATACATTAGGTCACTTATCAAGTAATAACCTTAATTTTCTGTGCAGTTACCAACACTTTGATTTTCATAAGTATCCCATCTAATGGAAACTAATCTTTGCAGTATTCACTCAGTAGTTTCAAGACATGCAAACATTCAAAGCTGCATTGCAAAAGCAGGTCCTTAAATAATCTGGATTTGGAAAGATCAACCATAGAGCTAGAAATACAAAGTCACCAATTAAAGTTCCTAATCAATAATACAAAGGAAGTTCTGTATTGAATGCACACTGACTTTGTTAGGTGACTTTGCTGATATTGACAAATAAAAAATTGCCACCACATTAGAATGACTAAAAACTGCAATCATTGTCTTTTTAAACAAAATTAACTGATAAAAGACTCGTGCAATACATTGGAACTTCAATGAAAATAAAAATCAAACATCTATCTAGACTTTTAATGGTTTTACATCTGGATTCAACAATTTAAGGAATAGTTGAAGAAATTTTTCATTTCAATTTCAGTTGAAGAAATGTCATAAAAAAAACATGTACCTCAGGCAAAAGATATGTGCGATCTTCATGCACTGCAGCAAACTCTGCCAGAGTTCCGTGTCTGCCACTCTGTTCAACAAACACCCGGTCGCCCACCTGCACAAGATGAGCAAATGAAGAGCTGTGAGCTGTCCTATCATCTTCACAATTTTCAACTGGTTTTATGAATAGAATATTAAAAAATATAACTCAGTACTCACTGCAGTGAGTGACAGAGCGCATTTTCCTGTCGAAGAAAACTTGAGGTCACGGAAAGACAGACGGATATGGCACGCACAATAGTGCATTTTTTATGTAAATGAGAAAATGCGCTAAAAAGGAAAGATCCATGATGATAGAGAATAATTTGTAATGAAGATCATTAACAACTGTTTACAGTGCATAAATGTTTAGATAGAAGAGACTGGAGTTGATAGTTTTTTATTATTATGTAATGAAACTAGACTGGACAAATCCAGATAAAGAAAATCATGCAAATTATTTCATTATTCAAGTTCATCAATACAATTTTATATAATGGCCTGATGATAATTAGCCAAATAGAAATAGTAAAACTAAAAAGCATTTTCTGAAATTTCTGTTCACTATGTTATACAATAGCTAAAAATGAATAGGTACTAAGTAGCCTTCCAGCTATGCAAATCATAAAGAGGTGAAATGAAACCTGATACTTGCCCAAGCTACCAATCTTTTATAAATGAGAAATAACATATATTCAACTAACTTTGAATTTTTTGACAGCATTTCCCACTTGGGCAATAACACCAGCACCATCCTTGCCAGGAATGTACGGCAGCTGGGGTAGTACAGCATAGCTGCCACTGCGGATGTAGGTGTCCACAGGATTTACACCCGAATATTTCATCTCCACCAGCACCTGAGATCAAAATTATACTTGAAAGTTTAAATAAAGATTGGCTAATATTTTTTTTTACATTAATAATTTTGCTACACATGAACTATGATTTTCATGCCTTAGGGTAACAAAACTTTGCTAGAAAATTTTTGTGTTTAAATTGAGACATACTGTGACATATAGCTGAAAGACCTTTTATTCTGGTTTATCTTGAGCAATTAAATGTATGTCAATATCTAAATTAGATGATGGAATTATAAATAGCAATGCATACATACTAATTACATTATATATCAGTAATAAATTCATCTGTCTGCATATAAATTACTGGGGTTAATAGCTGAAAAAAGTGAATTTTAAAAATTTTACAACAAGTAAAGTATGGGCTATGGTAGAAAATAGACTGTAGACATACCTCATTCTTTTCTGGAATTGGTTTTTTCACATCAGGAACTAATTGCATGACCCAGCTGGCACCAAACTCCTTAACCTGAATGGCTCTCATTGACATCTTGGAACTTTTCAGTAGAGCTTTGAACATCAATGATTCTAATTAACAATTGAAAGCCAGAGCAACTGTGCAAAGCCAGAGCAACTGTGAGGAAGCAGAGAGCATGAGGTCTTAGTATCTTATTCTGTGGCTATGGTGATCATGTCATGGCTTGTGGACAATGAAGAAAGAAAGAGCACAAGAAACAGTTCAAAAGTGAGAGAAGCCAGTCTGCATTGCACCAGATCCAGAGCAAGAGCTGCAGTTTGTTGCTATCATGTGCTTTGCAGGCATTTTAAATCAATCAATGAAGGCAATACTGACTTGGCCATTGGATGCAAGCCTGCAGGCTGCAGTACTACCTCTGCACCCTGGCATTAATAAGTTTCAAAGAATTCTTTGATTGTATAGGTTATATTAGAAAATATTAAAAAATATGAAAGACTGTAAGCACAAATGGTAACCATATCATATGGTTTCTGGTATGTTTGAAGTATCAGGATGCCCTGCAGCAATGCAGTGCAGCTTATCCAGAAAACAGTTGCAATGCAGATGAGTGCTGCAATATGCGGTAATGTGAAGAGTAAGAGACATTATATCAAAGTTGTTAGCAGCATTTTCTTATTGAAAATTACCTAACAACACATCTTGAATAATGCTGGCAACAAATTCCAAATAGTGCTGGCAACGTTCTGGATGTAAAGTCCTTATCTTGGCGTCAAATAGTGGCAAAGCAGAGAGTTTTTTAGACTCTCCCTCAAGTCATTTGTGAGTCCTATAAATAGACCAGTAAATTATCCTGGAATAAGGTATCCAGGTCCTGGATATCAGCAGTATCACTATCATACATAAGTAGGTATGTGCACAAAAAAATTTTTTCCTTTGATTGTAATGAAAATTACACCACTGAAAGGAGAAAATAATTTAAAAAAATATCATATAAGTATGAGTGGAGTAGGTGGAAAAATGAAAAATATATGAATTTTTTCCTTTTTTCAATTTCACCCCAAAAATGGACCAACTTCTGTCACTTTTTTTTTGGAAAAAACTATCATTTGTAGGTTTCCTATGAGCCAATTTCAAAGTTTTTAGTACCATTAGAAAGCTCTTGTTGTAGGCTATCTATCCTAACTAGAATAAAACATTTTGGTTGAGACTTTGATTGCAGGTGGGTGGGGGAAATGGGTGCAACTGCTAGATATGAATGCTATAACTTAACTTAAAGGCAGAATTGGATGGAATAAATTTCAGTTTCATGGTCTTGGCACCATAATAGAGCTTAAAAATATGAAATTAAATAGAATATGCAAATAAAATTTACTAGTACTAATAATATCAATTTTATTAATATTAATTCTTAACTAATTATAATAAATATTAGTGAATATTGATATTAATAATAATATTAAATACTGATTATCATCACGTCACATCTCATGTCTTGTTTTGTCTCATATCTCGTCTCATCTCATACCTCATCTCATGTCTCGTCTCATCACTCTCATGCTTGCCTCGTGTATCATCTCATGCTTGCCTCATGCTTGTCTCCACTGTGCAGAGAGTGGATGAATATTGCAAATCTTTGGCGACGCTTCAGTAGCCAAATTTTCGCCTTCAGAAGATCTTGCCGACACATTTAGATTGAAATTCTTGCATTTAATATATTTCTCAGTCTTTCATTACTCAGTGTAAATGGCTTTTCATTAAAAACTACCTGGCGATGCATCTTAAAAATGGTCGGCTACGCTTTGGGCTTAAAAACCCATATATTGGCGACGCTGCTTCTATCTTCTGCGCCCTGGGCTTGTCTAAAGTCTTGTCCCATCTCATGTCTTGTCTTATGCCTCATCTCATGCTTGTCTAAAGTCTTGTCTCAAGTCTAGTCTGAGTAGTCTCATGTCTTGTCACCTTGTCTCATGTCCAATCTCATGTCTCATCTACTCGTCTGAGTCGTCTCATGTCTTGTCTCGGCAGTCTCGCGTCTCATCTCACATCTCATGCCTTGTCTCATGCTTATCTCAAATCTTGTCTCATTTCCAATCCAATCTCATGTCTCGTCTTATGTCTCATCTCATATCTCAGTCTCATGTCTTGTCCCATGTCTCAGTCTTATGTATTGTCCCATGTCTCATCTCATGCCTTGCCTCATGTCTTGTCTCATGCCTATGATGCCTTGTCTCATGTCCCCTCTCATTCCCATCCAGCATGATTAATGGCTTAGCCTTAATGCTGGTATACAATCCATCATCATCCATGATACTTTTCCTGGTCTACATATAGGACTAAAAAATAAACTTTGAGTCCTATATGTAAAGAAGATTTGCACGGCACTTGTACTACACGGCGTGGCTGCTGGCCGAGGCCGGGTGCAACATCGGCGGACTGGGCTACTCTGGTCTCGACAAGCACGGCCATCACACCTGGCATGGCGCTTCTAATGTTGACATCGTCGGCGTCGAGGTACGTTGTCTTGTCAGTTCAAAGTGCCATAATTTCAAAGTGCCATAATTGCCAAAAGTTCAAAGTGCCATAATTTTAGTTAAAAAAAAAAACATGTTCATCAGTGAGGTATCATTCTCATGATATTCTTAATCTTGTAGATGGCGTGTCCGCAAGTTGCTTTACAATCGCTCCTCAAGCATCAGTGTTGTCTTTAAAAAGCATTATCTTGTTTATTTTGCTCGACTTTACTTGGAGATGTCTATAAACAAACCACAGTTTGAATTCTTCCAGAAATTCTTAGTTGGTAGCCAATTTCATAGACAGCATTTGTGAACTGTAATTGATTTAACGTGCAGTTTGGCACGAGTTTGCGCGTTATCTTGGACTCGTGGAACAGCAAAACCGTCATCTGGCTGCGCTACGCCGCATACGAGAGATTGCCATCCAAATACCAGGTATATGATCGCTTACATTAATTAGCAAATATCGGAAGCAAATCCAAATACCAATTAAATAATCGCTTAAATTAATTTGCATATATTAATCAATATATGCAAATATATTGATAATCAATTTTCCGACGTCCGATGAATTTACACCCTCAATCATTATTCCTGAATTAATATTTAATATTTCTTAAAGGTAATTGTTGTGCTTGGTTATATTTATGTCATAAATGTGCATTGTATTGTTTAGTGGATATTCCTCTTAGCTGTAGTTTTTGCATATCTTATCTATCTAAATCTATAATCTATATAATAATCATCTAGCTATTCTATCTAAATTTACACGCAAGGTCAATTTAGTCTTGAAAATTGTATGTAATAGCAAAATTTCAGCATTAATTCAATTTTGAGCTTGAAGTAAGCAATAGTTTCCCCGTATAGCTTAACTATTACCGAGAACATGTTCAGGTTGCAGGAACGTACACCCTGTCGTCGATGTGGCACGGCTTCTACCCCGGCTACTACTGCACCTTCTTTACTGCCAACCTCATGACCTTGGCCTCCAGAGCCGTGAGTTTCTCTTCATTCCTTCTTCACGCACGAGCCAAATGACCTTACCCGCAAATATTCATAACAAATTTCAGATAATGGCTTTTTAATGGAGATATTTTCATTGTTCTAGGAATTGATCTGTAATCTAAAGACATGCAATTCGTACCTGTCATTTAAACGCCGTTTGAGCACACCTGACAGGTTTGTCAGGTATGAATGTTTTGTTTGAATATTAGTATTTAATAGACAAATAATACTAAATTGAATTTTATTGAATGTTAAAATTGAATTTTAGTATTCAATAGACAAATAATACTAAATTGAATTTTATTGAATGTTAAAATTGAATTTTAGTATTCAATGGACAAATAATACTAAATTGGATTTTTTTTAATAATAAAATTGAATTTTAGGATTCAATAGACACTCTACCCCCACTTACTACCGCAGGCACGTCGCAGTGTCCGGCCGCTGGTTGTGTTGCTGCAGGGCGGGGAGGAGGGCTGGGTCATGACGAGCTACCACGTCGTGACGTGGTTCATGGGCCGCCTCATTCTCTCCTATTGTGTCTTCAGCTTCGTCCTCCTTCGCTTCTGGCCTTCAGTCAACGTCTACTGGTGACGAGACTTGAACGATAATTTCATGATTTGATGACTATCTTTCTAAAGATGGTTGAAAAATTTCTAGCTTTGATTATAACTATGCACATTAACCCATCCAAGGTGATGAAAAGTTTCTAATTCCTAGAATTTCTCTCAAACTTGCACGTTCTCCATCACAGGATATAATTGCTTATAAGATGAATCTTATCGACCTTCTAGAAAATAGCTCTTCCACAAGCAATGATGCTCATTACTTTGGTTTTATAATAAAATCTTACGGTTAAGATGAATTGTTTTCAGTTGTTGATTCGATGAGGTTGTTGGAAAATGACTAATTGTGCGTGGCGTCCGAACACAATCCTGTTTCTTAAATTTCTACTTCCTTTATTGTGAGTGGTTTATCATGTTCATTTGTTGAACTGCTTTTGATCTTCGCCAGGGATTTGATGTTCTACATGCACATCATTGCGTTGCTGTGTATCTACGTCTTGCCTGTTGTTCTTCCGCCACCAAAACGGTCCAAAGCTTCCGCCGGCGACCCTTCAATCAACGGAGTCGCCAGCGACAGTAACGGCCACGCCTTTCGTGCAGATAGAGAGCCCTCCAATAACACCGCCACCACAGAGCGGGTTGAGGATGCCACCATGCGAGTGACCCCCAAAGCTTTTGATAAGCAAGTCTGACAGGTTTGTCAGGACTGGTCCTTGACTTACTGACAATGCAGACGCAGTTTGCATGTTTCGTGATTGTGTCCTTTTCGTGGGAACTCGCCGATTATTTTTCTGCTTTTTAACTAAGTGTTGTTTTTTTGTGTTGCACTGCGTCGTCATTTTTAGTGACGACACAAGCGGTTTTGGTACCATTTTTAATTTAGAAGAAACTTCCATCTCCATCGTTCCTTTCTCATTTTGGTAATGAAAAATGTCGAGGTTGACAAGATTTACACTAGAACCCTATTTTTAGTTCTTGACTAACAGATTATTTGGGCAGAGCTTTTCTGTTTACTGAATTTTTAACAACCAGCACAAATCACGTTGTGCTATTTCCAGAATAATCCCAAAAATTACCTATAGATCTCTTCCTAGAGGCGAGATTGTCTTGCGATTTGGAATAAATTACAGCGTTCATTTCTTGTACAGGGAAAGTTTAAAGATTTAATTGCAAAATAATAGTACTTGATACACGACATGAACATTGACGATTCATAAAGCTGTTTAAATAATGGTGTAGTTGAAAATCTTTTGAGTGCGTACTGCGTAACTATGTCGATGCGTCTGAGCTTTCTTAATAAGAAATACAAATACATGTGAAGGTTGTAGTAATTTCCGATGGAATTTTCATCTTATTGAGGTTCGCAAACTTTGTTTGGACCGCTAAAGGGGGGAATCTGTGCTACGCGCATAACTTCATTATTTGGACAATGCGACCCATACATTTTTGACTTTATACCCTTTTGTTTATGAATGCAATGACGGTTTTAAATGCTTTTCGTAGATTATGATGAATAATTATGTACGATTTATTAGAGGAGACTTCGTGTCAATGTTCTTCCAGGGTGCTCGTGTTAACTAAAATACTTAAATGATTATTTTGTAAGAAAGTACACTTATGAAATGAATTAATACTATTTTGATGAGTGACTTTAAATGCTCTGATAATGTTGATTAATCAAATCGTCTTCTTAATCGATGTCGACAGCCAGCAAGCGTTGTCTACGAGCTACAAATTACGGTATCAGCTTCTATCCTTGAACACTATTTTTGTTGAGTGAACACTAGATATTTAGATGGCTCGTTTTGTTACCTGAAAAATCTATTTATAATGAACTATTTTTAGATGCTATTCATTGAAATATTTTCTCTTACAACGCGTACTAATATTCCGTGAAATATAAGACGAGCTTCCATTATGTATACGTTGACATGACACGTCAACGAGCCGCGAGGAATTATTTTTACAAGTCTAGAGTTTTGATCGTCGGTAATCCTAAAGTGTAATCTTGCCAGCCGCTGGAACCTATTTTTCAACCGACTCGCTCACATATACATAGAAGTGATGTATTTTGAAGCGGCAATCAAATATCATTCAAATAAAATACTTGTATTTTACATAAGCTTATACTTTTCCTTCATCTTTATGTTCAGTTTTTGTTTCGTTTCCGCTATCGATATAAATTTGATTGCTGAAAATATAATTCTCATAACATGATAATTTACAATCATTTGAAATTTATATGTAAGCCGTGGCAAAACATTTGCTGACGAAAAAGTGTACAGATTGAATATATTCTAATCGGAAATATACAAATGACACTCATAACAAAAGGTATATATCTCAACATAGCTCATCTTTAATTAATCACAGGTAAAGCACATGACACTCACCAAAACATCTACACATCACAATATAATGGTATACATCCCGCTAAAGATACCAAGACATTAGCGTCTGTGAAATTGGAGCTTGAATAAATATGTGCTTTAACATCTAGCGATTCGTCAATGAATAGTCGCGATGCCTCAAACAAAAAAGTTAACTTATACTAAAGATCTAAAACAACTTGAAATCTTGAATCACAAGACACTGGGCCCTGACATTGTAATGTAAAGCATGGAGCTGAAGACGCTTTTCACGCTGTCACATCCACTATTAACTTGCCAAGCGAGGGATTATTTATAACATCGTCGTGTGCCTGTGATGCCTGCAGACAAAGAGAATATCTTCATTCCAACGTTCACAAATGTTCATTATGTGTTGAGTGACACATCTTTTTCTTGACATGGAGCATACTCGATGATGATGGCCATTACTAAGTACTGTATATACTTGCTAAGGGGTAGATTATAGAAAAACTATCACTGTGCAAGAGTGTAGATTTATAAAAACGTATACGTAGCTGCTAAAGAGTTTGCCGGAAATGGCTATACGACCACCCAGTTTTATCCAAATATTTTTTCTTGCACAAAAAATATGGGATTCTAATTATACGAGGTTAAACTACGTTTAAAAACGTTTCCGAGGATATGCTAAAAAAAAAAATTTCTCAAAATATATGGGTGGAAATGATGAAAATTAGAAAAATCCTAGGTGGAAATGGTTACAGGACCAAGATATGTTTTTCCGTTTGTGGATCACATACACTCATTTTAATAGGCAATCTCACTTCCTTTTGCCATAATTACCTCATTGCATCTTCTCCCCACGCTATTTACCATATAATCCAGTGTCTTTTGAGAAATTTTATCCCAAGAACGAAGGATAGCCGTGCTCAGGTCACTCACAGATTGAAACTGGCGCTCATTTTGGTAAACATCCCTCGCCATGATGCCCCATTAGTTTTCCATGGGGTTGAGGTCAGGACTAAGCGCCGGCCACGGCAACAGAGTAATATTCTGCTCTAGGAACCACACGTTTGCTGATTTTGAGGTGTGAATTGAAGCATTGTCATGTTGAAAAACATATGATCCCTGATGTTTCTCATTGGCAAAAGGAAGAAGTTGGTAAAACAGCGTGTGCTTGTAAGCCTCGGAATCTTGTCTCCCATGTAAAATAGCTAAAGTTGATTTTCCCTTTCGGCTAAACGCCCTCCAAACCATGACCGAAAAAACATTCAGTCTCACGGTCCAGTTGTGCCAATAGCATTGCCATCTATCTGGACCATAAAGATTGGACTTTTTACATCACTGAAGATATTCTTGTGCCATTCCTTACAATAAGCAAATTTTTTTCAGCAGATTTAAGTCGGTTGGTAATATGCTTTTGTTGGAGCACAGGGGCATTTTTCCTCTTCATGTATTTGAATTTCTTCGAGTCATGCAATGTCTAACGGATGCCTCGTGCTGTTACATTAACTCCAGAGGCCAATTTTATAGAGGTAGAGGTAGCGCAAGTTTAGAAGCCTCAGAAACGTCTCCTAAGATCACTGTCGGTTAATTTTGGGGTTGGTCCAGTGTGCTTTTTTTCAACCGTAGCCGTCCGGATTAGCAAAAAAATGATTGTGCAGTGGGAATGGGAATAAAACGCTTTGAGCGTTTTATTCCCATTGCGATGTCCTGTTGGCTTCTACTGCATTTCACGAAGCCGAAAATCTGCGCCTTCTCGGCCTCAGTGAGTCTCTTGTCCCATTTAGCATATTTTTCACTTCGAAAAAAATATAAGTTCGGACACTGAACTACACCAGAAGTACACCAGAAAGGCCCTAAATGACGAAAATTAAGATATTCTTTATATTGATGTACTTTTTAAAGTGAAAATATTACAGAAAGATACCAAAATGGAGAAAAACATATCTTGGTCTTATAACCATTTCCACCTAGGTTTTTCTAATTTTCATAATTTCTTCTCATATATTTTGAGAAAATTATTTTTTTAGCATATCCTCGGAAACGTTTTTAAACGTAGTTTAACCTCGTACAATTAGAATCACATATTTTTTGTACAAGAAAAAATATTTGGAGAAAACTGGGTGGTCGTATAGCCATTTCCGGCACTGTAGATTTAAAAAAAAACATAGCTACTAAAGAGTATCGATTTAAACAAGTAAACCTGCTCAAGGTTGTAGATTTAATAAAAACATATACCTGCTCTAGAATGTAGAATTTAAAAAACATATAGCTGCTAAAGAGTGTACATTAAAAAAACGGATCCTTGCTCTAGAGTGAAGATTTTGTAAAATATATACCTGCTCCAGAGTGTATATTTTAGAGACGCGAGGCACGAGTTGGCCTTTCTGCACAGCCTGGATGACAGCAGCTGCCGTACTGGCTGCTTCTTCCTGTGCATGATACAAATTATTACAAAATAGCTGATCGTGGTTTAAAAATCGCTAGGATTGGAAAAACTTGAATTGATCAGTAAAATACTAATAATTAATAGCTAGGGTATATAAAATAGTGCGATGATGATGAAATTTAAAAGGAGCTAAACCATCGTGCATCCCTTTGAAGACCATTGAAAATAAAAAACCTAGCACAGCAAAACGAAAAACCTGACATTTCAACGAAACTCAAATTCCATTCTTTGCAAGTATTATGTTATGAGAGCAGACAATGTAACTTAGAGCACCTCATCAGCAGCAGAGAGAGCACATCCCACGATGGACGCCTCGTTAGCCATGAGCAGCCTGGGGTTGATGGTCACCTCCCCTCTGCACCCCACCACCTGTAACCTCATAATATTAATAGCGGTTTGCCGTAGGCCTGTCGCCGATTTTTAACATCGCAGAACATCCACAGCATTTTGCGGTCTCGAATTCGCTACTCGCTACAACAATTCTGCTGTGCTTAACCGCCCGGCCTCCTCGCCGATTCTGACCAGAAACTGGCGCACAGAGCTGGGATCGAACCCGCGCCTCTCTGCTCTTTGCTATCATGTGCTTTGCAGGCATTTTAAATCAATCAATGAAGACAATGCTGACTTGGGCATTGGATGCAAGCCTGCAGACGGCAGCCCTACCTCTGCACCTGGGAATTAATAAGTTTCAAAGAATAATTTGATTGTGTAGATTGTATTAGGAAATATTTAAAAATATGAAAGACTGCAAGCACAAATGGTAACCATATGGTTTCTGGTATGTTTGATGTACGAGGATGCCCTGCAGCTTGTCCAGAAAACAGTTGCAATGCAAATGAGTGCTGCAGTATGTGGTAATGTGAAGAGTAAGGGACATTATATCAAAGTTGTTAGCAGCATTTTATTATTAAAAATTACCTAACAACACATCTTGAATAATGCTGGCAACAAATTCCAAATAGTGCTGGCAACATTCTGGGCGTAAAGTCCCTAGCTTGGCATCTTATACATAGTGGCAAAGCAGAGAGTTTTTTAGACTCTCCCTCAAGTTCATTTGTAAGTCCTATAAGTAGACCAGTAAAGTATCCTGGAATAAGGTATCCAGGTCCTGGATACCAGCAGTATCACTATCATACATAACATAAGGAATTGATTTAAATCTTGGGTTACTGTTGGGTAAATGAGGAAATTAAAAGATTCTAAGAAAGCTGTGGTTTGCCACTATGCTTGGCGACGCTGCTTGGAGCTTGGGCTTGCAAAATCTTCACCCTGGTAGGCTGGTCCCTGCCCCCTGGGCATCCAGCATGATTAATGCAGGTATTATAGTGGTATACAATCCATCATCATCCATGATACTTTTCTGGTCTACATTTAGAACTCAAAAATGAACTTTGAGTCCTATATGTAAAGAAGGGCCTTAAAAAAACTCTCTGCTTTGCCAGTTTCATTCTTGTCTAATGTCTAAGGCCATCGGCTTCAGCTCCCCGCCCCGCTCCGGCTGGCGGTTGCATTTTTTTCTTTAATTGGAATTTATGGGAGCCTCTGAAGACTGGTTCAATGCGGCCCCATGTCAGAACAGTTGAAGGAACTTGACTGAATTGTTTTCTTGTACAAAATTGGGTGTCTTGAAAAAATCAAGATTTCTCAATGGCTGATGGGCTACAGAACGGGGCCACCAAAGTGGAGACCACACCAGGGCGGAGAGCACCACTCCAGGGCAGAAAGCCCCACTCCAGGGCAGATA